ACAACAACATTTAGACTTTTTCGGATTGTTCGAATATGTGTGGAATGCTTCCGTTGGATGAGCGTACGCGAGAGAATCGACGTGCTACATTGATCGTCTGACGAATTTTTTGCGCTTTGAGGAAATTTTCATGTTTGCCACCAGTTGTTCGATCATCACCTTCGATCTCGGTTCGAATTTCCATCTTTTGAACGATTAGTCGTACAAGATCAGTAATTTTCTCCAGTTGACGTTGCATGTCCTTTTGTCTATACAGGGAAATCATTTTAAGAAAGTTAAAACGAATCTTTCTTCTTCATTACCTTCGTTTTTGTTTGTAAAATTCGATAAACAATGCACTCTCATTGCCACACTCGTCGTTTGCTTGTAGAACATCATTTGTATTCAAAGGTTTTGAAATCCACTGACAACAAAGAGTCTTATTTTTGATCAGAAATGTTTTCTTTTTTAAATTTACCTGTTTAAACATATTCGAAGCGCGATTACAGATGCTTTTATTCATAAAGACAATAAATTCATTTTTAGTCCAACGGCAAAGTAATTTTTGCGGTAATTTCTTTTCCAAATTTGTATGAAGTTGAACCTAGAAATGAAAACATCTTTCTGTAGAAGAAAAATCAATTGCTTAACATGAACCAACTTGTGTAGCAAGACGTTTTAATCGCGCATTCTGTTGAATTTGCATGAGATCTCCAATGGCCAAGCCAACAAGTAGATTCATGAGAAGAATTGGCATGATAATAGCAAAGAGAAGGAGAATGATCAAATTGATGATATTGAAATGATGATCGTGGGTGTTTTCGAAATATGAACGTTCAAAGTCCAGTTCGCCTAACATCATGGTTACTGTTTTAATGACGATCATGAGCAGATGCTGAGGATTCGACGGATCGAGATCCTAGAATGACAAAGAATTGCGAAACTATGTTGATATTTTTCTAAACTCACTTGAGTGAACGGTCTTATGACACAAAATGTCAATGCGAAACCGAAAATTAGAATCGAAAACAATGACAAGACATGCAACAATGTTTTCATGATTTCTAAAAACATAATTACGTAGATTCCATAGATATCGAATCGACCAAGTAAGAATAAGAGTGCCAAATAAGCTGTGAATATGCTAATAGAACCAGCTACCCATTGAAAGTGCCATGACTGATCGAATAGGAATGGAATTGTGAATATACTTGTAGTAACATACAATGTCCACTGCACATAATTTTCAATATCATAGAAATACTCTCGACCATCTTGAACGAGCTGGATAATCTCAAGAATAAAATTCAGGAAACAATACAACACGATGTACCAAATACTGATGATTTGGGGAAAAGATGCTGTTTTACGAAAAGATGTGAAAATGGAATTCGTACAGAAATGTTTCGCATGATTTGTCTCCGGTGTATCATAATGGTTGCACGCAGGAAATGTGATGACAAAATAGGAGAGAAGTGAAAGAAATAGAAGATAGAAACTCAAGTTTAACATATAGATTGGAAAACCATATGAAAGCCATTTTTGACGAAGTAACGTTTCGCATAACGGATGACTCAAGTGATTAGTACGACCAAATTTGACCATCATCTATTGGAATGAATGAAACAGACTTCTCCGTTAGATAGATACACTTACATTCAATGGTAACATGGGATATCGATATTCTTTCCCATCGATGTTTTTCGTGTCCATCCAATTGATATAGTGAAAATCGTAGATAAGCTAGCATGGAAAGAAAGATGAGCAATGCGCAACAAAAAAGATGATCACTTACGTGAAATTCTTTGTGCTTTCGATCATCATGACTTTCAGTTATACATCGATCGAATAGAATCGGTGCACATTCAGGTAGATGTTCAATCAGACCAAGTAGTGGTTTTTGATATTTTCGACTCTCCAAATCCAGTGCTTCTTTCCATCTAAATAAATTTGAAAGATTATTTAGAAGAAAAAATCAATTACTCTTACCGATCATGCGCGATGATTGTCAAACAAACTTCTTTTTGTTTTCTCTGAATCGCCAAATCGAGAAATGTTTCACCATCGGTATTTGTTAGAAACTGTGCAGATTTCGTCATCAGTAGATCAACACCATCAACATAGCCAGCTGCAGCAGCTAAATGCAATGGCGTCATGCCTAGACGGTTAGTTGCATTGATCAAATGAGCATGAGCTTGTAAAATAACGTTCATCGTCGACACGTGTCCATGAGCTGCGGCTTCGTGCAGCGGCGAATTTCCTTCGTAGCTCTTTGTAAACTGTGCTCCTTTGTGTAAGAGTAACTGAACAACACGTGTATGACCATTCTGACAACAAAGATGTAATGGTGTTTGACCTAACTTATCAGGCTCATTGAGAATACGTTTAAAACCGGGAGTATCTAATAGTTGACGGCATGTGTTGTATCGACCATATCTAACAAAAAACAAGGAATGAATTATATTTCTTTGCGAAAGATAATGACGTACTCAGCAGCGAAATGGAGCGATGATTGTCGTTGATTTGTCTTTTTGTTAATTTCTGCTCCGTGCTGTATCAATGTTGTCAAAACATTTACTTGTCCTTCTCGCGATGCATAATGAATCGGATAGAATCCATCAGTATCACGTTGATCGAATAACGTGCGAAAGTTCTCACGTGTGAACAAGATACTGCCAATGGTTTCAATCGGTAAATTTTGTATAATTGCGAAGTGCAAAAGATTTCGATCTGTATCATCTCGATAGATTAACGAAGCGTTCTGTTTCAGAAGAAAACAAACTGCTTGTACAGATGATTTCAAAGCAGCAACCAAAAGTGGCGTGCGTTTGGACACATCCCGCGCATCGATATCCGCTCCCTACGTTTTCGACAAAGATTATCAAGACATTTCTCTAGTTAGATAGTCTTACCGCTTCAAGTAGGTATTCGATGACGTCAACATGATCACCCATTGCCGCCCTTGAATGCAAATAGTTTAGAGTAAAGCGAGATAGAAAACGAATTTGCTTTTACTTGTGTAGTGGTGTCATGCCTTGAATGTCAGTCATCCGCATCACTTTCAATTTTAGATCTGCTTGAGAATTGAACATTAGTTTGAGGATTTCAATCGAACCTTGTGAAGCTGCCAGATGAACTGGTGTCGATAAGTCATCCTGTTGATCGTCAATTCGTCCTCCACTGTTCAAGCATATCTCAACCGCTTCGATATTTCCACCTAAATTATTCAAAGAAAACATTTGATTACTGTTAGATGAAGGTTGTCTTCGAAACCCACCGATCACGGATGAATGTAATGGTCGATGGTTTTCCGAGTCGCAAAAATTCAACAAATTTTCAGTTTTGTATCCCAAAGATTTCGCTAAAATGAACAGTTAAGACGAAAACAAAGTCAGCAATTACAGCATTACCTATTTGGAATAAATGATGAAACACACGATTGCTACTATTCAATGCAGCGACATGTATAGCGTAAGTTCCAGCATCACATTTCTGACAAAGTCGAGCATGGTTGTCAGTCTACAGATTCTAGTGTTAATAATAATATGAATCATTCTTGATATACATACGAGGATCTTTGCGGCTTCAACATTATCGATCAGAGCAGCATAGTGAAGTGGTGCTTTGCCCCGTTCACCGCCAAGATTAACTAGATCCGGTCGTTTGGATAAGAGAAACTAAATGAAACAATAATATTGACATCATAACGGATCGTCAGATCATCTTGTCTGGAACACAAGTTCAGATTTTAGTCCTTGATATCAATTAACATCAATGTCAAAACCTGCTCAGAGTCAAGACAGTGACATGATTCATTATTTTCAGTGTGAAAGAAATAGCACATATCATGCGTATTCTGTCAACTCAGTTCTCGATTGTTCTATGATTATTGAAAACTTCAACGTACTTCAAGAGCTTTCAATTGATTATGTAAAACAGCAAGATGAATTGCTGCTTCGTTTTGTTTCGTCAAACGACTGTCATCAACTCCATTATCCAAAAGAAATTCAATTGATTTCAATGCGTTATTTCGGACAGCATGATGTAAAGGTGTCCAACCATCCTTATCTTCAATATTTAAATCTGAAATAAACAATATTATAAATAAATATCTCCTCTTTCCACTTCGACATATATACCTCCATTGTACTGAGCGATTAAACTCAGAATTGCCACACGACCTCGAGCAGCTGCTGTATGAGCGGCGCAGAGACCAGCTGGATTTGCTACTTTTAATTTACTTGGATCTTCACGAAGAATTCGTTCGAATTCATCCACATTTCCACTTCCAGCGATCTAGAATCAATCAATGCATGTTTTCCTCGAAATTGCACGTGAATTCCGCATACTCGAACAATGTAATGTGGACTTTCGGAAAATAAACATAAATCTTCACTATGTGAACGAGTAGGGACACTAACCAATGTGTCAGTTACTTCATTTGGTATAATCAATGTTTTGGATAAGGTACTCATTTCCCGTCCTCCTTGTACAATTTTGCTTCTCTTTGATCGACCGAAGAAATCACGAAATACTTTGGTAAAATCAGAGCCCGACCGATGATGATTATTTGGTAAGTTTGAATCCATTCTACTACGAATACGTATAAAGATATTGCTTTTGCTCATTATTTCAACTAACCTTGACGATGGTGAAGAGTTTTGTGAAGCAGCAGTTGAAAACATAGAGTGTGCAATCATATCTGTTGACGAGAAAAGAAAGTTGTAGGAATGCTATTGTCAAACTTTTATTTTTCTCAGATACGAATCTATTTCTCATCAGCATGACTTGGCAAAAAAGAAAATTAGTCTGCTTTTGCTAATGACTCGACATAAGAAGGTTGGAAATCACATACATATTCATGACGAAATCTTTGTTGAAGTATGCTGTTGACTAGAAATGTATTGTAATGACAAGTGGCAGAGAAAGGGAGAATGGATATATATACGAAGATCTTCCTTACGTCAGTTTGTTCAAAAGAGATATAAATATAATGTCAGTTCTTCATGTTCAACGCTCAAGTGATCATTTAAAGACCAGAAAAAATGATTTAGGAAAGAATGCGAAAAATCTTTTTATACCAAACCTCATTAAGTATGAAAATGTTATTATTACAAAATCGACTGTCTATAAATCATACTAAACTACAGCACGTCGTCGATGTTCACAAAACCTTCAAAACATTCCAAGATGAAGATGTTGAAGTTGATAGTTAAAAGAACACTGCGTATTTTATACTAATTGATCGAGAAAAGCCTGTTTAGCATCTATAGCTATTAATGTGTATGTTCTGCATGACAAGACATGAAGTGCAAGACAAAAACCAATGATATCCACCGATCGACATACTATTACATGTTTCTTTATATGATTTTCTTTTCAGATTGTAAGAAGTGTGAAAAGAAAACGTAGTTATTTTCTTTCAGAAGAAAATTATTCATTAGCTGACTGCAACAATGACGCACTCTTCATTTTTTTTTACACAGCACTAGATCTGGTAGAAAGAGAAAGCCCGTTTGTGACATTTTTCTAATTCACAATTTATTTTTGTTAGATTGGGTTGGTTTCACACGACTAGCGAAACCAGGTTTCTACTTATATTCCATTATTATTCCGCAGTCAATATTTGTATTTACAGAGTAAACTTTATTCTAACGATCGTATACGGCTAAGCTGCTAATATGAATTACAAATCATAGTCCGTCGATATATCAACGAAAACATATTTTACTAAATGAATACTTACTCAGTAATTATTCTATGACCGTAATGAGAGTTGTGATAGCATTTGTAATATGTAGACACGGGTAAAGCTTAGAAGAAAGCATGATATATGTAAGATCTTTTATAATACAATTCTTGTTTTTGTCATCATGATGCACAGAAACGATAAAAACGGATGCAAAAAGAATATTCTTTTGTTGATAGTGTAGTGAAAAAAAACATATTGTTTCTGAATTTCATGTTAACTCTACCTGTGGATCATCGAATGGATGTTGTCGAACGATTGTGATTAAGATCGTAACTGAATAGTCTCATTTTATGCTTTCTCGGAACAATAAATTATATTGATGTTTGGACTATTGTCGAACAAGGTAGTTAATCAATTCCCGACAAACATAATTAAAATACACGAGAGCAGAATTTTCAATAGAAAAAGAACAAAAAAAGACTACTCATATAGTCACACTTAATTATGAGATCAATATTAATTATCTTTTCATATAAGTTAATCCTATGTCGCATGTTTTCACTCGCATTACTTCTGCATATATTTCTTGTGACACAGAATATCTTAGAGAAATATTCAAAAATCTTTTTCTTTAATAAAACTACATTTGCAGTGTAATAAACATCCTATGAACATTGTTGTTGATTGAATGTGACAAAGATCCAGTCGTTATACCTCTTTTCAATTCAGTTATGGTAGACCAGGTAGGATAAAGGTACGCCATCTATTCATTGGTGTGCTTTTTTTATTGCAATAGTAAGATTGGTCGATGGAGTAGAATCATCAATGAATCACCAATTAGACGTTGGTATTAAAAATTAAGTGTAATAAACATCATGTAGCGCAGAACCAAAAATCAAATACTCTTGTTCGTACTTGAATCACTTCCAAACTGAAAACAAATTATGTTTGTGATATTCGTGATCACCTAATCGTTGATCAATGACGAAAGATAGATTGAAAGATTTGCAAAAAACTGTAAGTTTTCATCACTCAAAACATACTCTTTCTTTTTTTTTATAGCTATTGTTCTTTTATATTTTCAAGAGTCCATGGGCACGTGGATCGCATCGAAGATTCTCTCGACAAGTATAAATACGCTTAATCATCTACGAAAAACTAATGCTCAGAGTTTAGACGAAAAAATAATATTATAAAACCGAGGGCGAGTGATCTAATCGTGTGTTCTTGTTTTGTTCTCGTTTATGCATGTCTATAGCTTTGCTGTATTCTATCTGTATTTTATGTAGCAGGACATTGTTCAGTTGCAAGCAACTTTCAACCATGTTGTTCTTTTGTTCATAATAGCTTCGAAGCTCGGATTTACCAAATGCTGCTAACGATGGTGCTATGCAGCTTACTGCTATCGATATAGATAAGGACTACAATGTGGCAGAATTTTTAACTCAAGTAAGTGAGCATGAATGCTTTGGATCGAATTGTGATAGTGAAAATTTTCATTCAGATTGATCTAATTCGTCTACTTATCGATAAAATCGAAGAAGATGCAGAAAATGTTCGTCAAATTCATAGTAAAATGCTTGAACCTATGGCCGATTCGAGTAAAAATTCCCTTTCACTATCAGAAGAAGACAATGTTACTGTATTTGTGTTTTCCTTTGATAGAACTCGCACAGGAACTCGATGATAAAACGGCTGATATAAAAAAGTTATCGTACGATGTTTCAGCAAAACTGAAAAGTACAGAAACCCATTTTCCTTTGCTGTCGCATAGACCTTCGGATTCTTAGAAATGGAAAAGATTCAAGAAGATCTTCCCGAAGCTGATAAAGCCAATGCTGTTTGGCGTATTAAGGAAACACAAATATTCAATATCACCCGACGTTTCCGTGAAGTTATGAATGTATATAACCAAGAGTTTGTTTTGCATCGAGAACGATGTAAACGAGCGATCGTTCGTGAACTCGAAATAAGTGAGAAAGACTTCGAATGATTACAAGAACGCTCGTTTCATTCACCTTTTTAAGCTGGTAATCGGCGAACTAATGATGAACTAGAAGAAATGCTTGAGCATGGTTTCCCAGGAACATTTAACTTCTCGGTAAAATTAACATTGTTGCCGTCTTCTTTAGTCGATAAGGACTTTGTACTTCAGATTATGGTCGATATTGAAAAAGCTAAGCAGGCTGTCAATGAAATTGAAGCACGTCAGCGCGATATAACGAAACTCGAAAATTCCATCAAAGAATTGCACGACATGTTCATTGATTTAGCTCAACTCGTTGCAACTCAGGTAGAGAGGACATCGGAGATGTTTGTCGAATCATTCAATTGATTGTACTTGTCACATTTCTCCATTCAAAGGGTGAAATGATTGATAACATTGAACATAGTGTCTCCAAAGCTACCGATTATGTCAATGATGCCGTTGAGCAAGTCTACATTGCACAAGAAGCTCACAAATCAGTTATGAAAGTAGGTAGAAATGAATCCGAAGAAAAATCTCTCGTTTTCTATTTAGAAAAAAATCGTCGTGTGTGTCATTTTAATTGCTGTTGTTCTTATTCTTCTCTTGATCCTCGCTGCTTATTTCACAACTCAAAGAAAATTATTAGGCAAATGAAATATCTCGATAGATATTGTGAAACACAAAACGTAGTGATTCTCTTTTCAAATTTGTCGCTAAATCTTCTCGTTGTATTTTTAATGATTTTTTTTCATTTCAGTATAAACATGTTTTTGCTTTTGCGGTTCAGAAGATATCAGTTGTAGCTGATATATGAAAATAATTGAAGATTAATTCAATAAATAATGTAGATCAATCGTCACAATTGAGATGAAACATTTCCGCAGGTGAACCATTGAATTGGGAAAAAAACATGTTGGCATATCATATATCGACGTCAGTCAGACACACTCCTACATCGAATTGCTTAATAAATTAAAAGCATATTGAAAGAAATATTTCCTCTTGTTCAATCTTATTGAAGTAATTAACTTTATCGTATGGTAAACACAGCGAACAAAAAGCTGTGCATGACTTTTGCATACTTTTTTTTGAGTTAGTAAGATCTACGAGATTCTTTCTCGACGAATTTCAATCAAACTCACCTGATTGAAGTCATATTAATAACGATCCTGGCTCCAGTATAATCAAATAGAATCTAAACTTCGGTTCTTCGTATTTGCTGAACTACCTGGATTGGTTCCACGAGTCTTCAGAGAATTCCCTGCCAAACATGCGTATGCACTCGGTGGAATAAGGTGCGTCTGTATATGTGATGATGTTTATGCATGGCTGAATATTTTTAATGATATAGAGCTAAATTTAGAAACTTCTTCAGCATCTGTTGTAATATGACTATGAGTAGAAAGCGGGTTTTATTCTTATCGCAAAGCGTGATTGTTTTCTTTTTGTTTTTTTTTGTATAATCTCAGCTGAAATAACCGAACCATATACGATGTTTTTGATCTCCGTTTCTTTATTGAATACATACTCACTCGCGCACTCAATAGCAGCAACTAATTCATGACTCATAGATCGTTTCTGATTGGTCGAGAGATTTTATTAACAGTGCACAAATGATTTGTTTATGTATGCATTGAAGAAAAAAACTGATGCTGTCTTCAATGGCATCTTATTACGAGTAATCTCAATGTACTGTGATTTTTTCGCTGGAGATCAAATAATGATTCATCAACGTTTCTCTTTTTTTTCTATATAAAATAAAGTGAGTAGGCAGGATGGATGTCGTCAAATGTTTCGATTATTTTTCAATAGAAAGAGTGTCACCTATAGAATTTTTTTCTTGTTGTTTTTCTTATTGTTGTTGTTGTTGTTTTGGGGTTTCTTTGCAGATTTTTAAACAGATGTGTAAACTTTTGAATCATTAATATCCATATTCCATGACGAAAGATCGATTGCCCGCTTTACGGGCGGTGAGTGAATTTGCCTTCAAGGAGAAATTGTTTTTTTCGAAAAAAATATCACTTTTAGGCTCAGAATACTGAGGACAGCGATCCTGATGCTGCCTATGTTGCTATCAATATGGAAGATAACAGTCGGTTCATGTCCGACTTTTTTGCTCATGTCGATTCACTGCGTACGAACATCGATAAAATAAGTGAATTAGTGGATGAAGTCAAACGTCTTCATTCCACGATTCTCGCGGCACCACAAGCCGATGATCGGACGAAAGAAGAGCTCGAAGAAAAAATGGCCGATATCAAAAAATTGGCGAATGGTGTTCGACAAAAATTGAAAGGTAAGTGATCCCGAAGAAAAAAAAAGAGTTGAAGTTCGACGAGACGACGAAATTTCTTGATCCGACTTTTGACAAAACGAACTTTTAGCTATGGAAACTGAACTAGAACAAGAAGGAACTGAAAATGCTTGGCGTACGGCCGATATCCGCATACGAAAAACACAGGTGTTGTTTCTATATCTGTAGTCAGTTTCGGTGTTGTTTCCCTATTATTTCTTTTCATTTTCGTTGTTGTCTTGTGACATTATTCTTTGTTGTTTCCCCCCTTCTTCTTACAGAAATGGAACAAAGTCAAGAGCAATCTCAGACATCGTCGAGCAAAACTCAAGCACAATTACGAATCGAAAAATCACAGGTAGTATATACAGATCAATTTGAAACCAACAAGTCGATACGACATATTGCAAATCTTCCCCTCTCTTGTTCGATGTTTCATATATTCGCCTTTGTTTGGACAAGATTTTGAGATATAACCGATTGTTTTTCCTCGTTTAGCATGCGACATTATCACGTAAATTCATCGATGTGATGAATTCATATCGAAATGCTGAGATTGAATATCGAGAGCGATGTAAAGCTCGTATTCAACGTCAACTTGAGATCAGTGAGGAACTCTACCTATTGTGTCGTGTCAAATATCTATATGCTTTTCGATGTTGACTTGTCTGTCTCGTTGTATATTTATCTTTGTTAGTTGCATCATAATTTGAAAAGATTCAATCAAATTATGACTGATTATCATCTCGCTAAACGAAATTATCTCGAAGAAAGTAAAAGAAAGTTAAGAAAACAAATCGAATTGAGTGAGTTTTCGAAATTCTTTCCTTTCGATTCTGCAAAGTCTTTGTTTTTGTTTATGTATTGTATGTTCATGCTTTCGATGTTGTTTTGCATTTATGTTGTAGTTATGTGTATTAACACGAACATTTCGTGATGTGATGAACGATTATAATCAAGTTCAGTTGGGTTACCGACAAAAGTGCAAAGAGAGAATACAGCGACAGCTTGAGATCAGTGAGCTCATATTTTCTTATTCTTTGCTTTAATAATTGTTGTCCGAAAACGAACCAAGCAAGAACGGATGAATTTAACTAAATTTGATGTATTTAGCCGGAAGATCAGTAACTGAAGGAGAAGTAGAAGAAATGTTGGAATCAGGTAATCCAGCAGTGTTTACACAAGGCGTAAGTGCTTACGAATTTGACGACTAGCATCGACTGTCCTACTTTTGTACTGTAGATTATGGTCGAAACAGCACAAGCTAAACAATCCTTAGCAGATATTGAAGCTCGCCATGGTGATATTATGAAATTAGAAAAGAGTATCAAAGAACTACACGATATGTTTATTGATATGGCTGCACTTGTTCAAACACAGGTATATCTTTCTTTCCTGATGATGTCATCAACAATCGACATTGTATTTAAGGGTGAAATGATTGATCGAATCGAATACAATGTTGTACAATCAGAAAATTTCGTCAAGGCTGCTAGTACAGATACGAAAAAAGCTGTTAAATTCCAGAGTGCCGCCCGACGGGTAAGTGTTCATCTTCGTAGAGTAGTTGAATGTGTTTGTAAAACTGCATGGTTCTTCGGGTCTATCCGCTTTACTCTAACACGTAAATACGCTTTGTTGCTTGTTCATACTACTAATTTAACGCGCTCTTCTCATTTGATTTATTCTAACGTATCTACGCTCATCTATTATTCATGATTTAACTGATCAATTTGGGTTACTAGTCATTTGTCATCAACAATCTATATCATTAATCTTATTTAGAAAAAAATTCTGCTTATCATTTGCCTGATTGTAACAGTCATCATTATTATTCTCATAATTGTCATTTATTTCGTGGTTAAAAGTAAAACTACTGACAATTCGTCAGCAGTTACTGCAACTCCAGGAAAACGATAGTTAGACGAAATCTACACACATATACAATACGCTCTGACATACTAACGGCATGGCTACATATTCATACACATATCTAAGCACACGAGAAACTGTTATCTATCATGTACAAAACTTCCTTTTGTCTTTTTCTTTTCATTTTCAAGAAATTATTTATTATTATTGGGATTGTTGCTGGCGTCCTCATTATATTGGTGATTATTTTAGCAATCGTTTTCGGTCGTTCGAAATAGCTTCTATTTTCGATAATCTCCTTTTGATTTTTCTTCCAAAACAAAGCACAGAAGTATATGTATATGTATACATTTCCAAGACCGTTGATCGGCTTGTCCAATATTTTTCTTTATTCGTTGTTTTATATTCGCTACGAAGAAAAAAAGTACGCGGCGTTTTTTCGATTTTTGTACAAATTTACACATTCATGGTCTTTCTATCGTCCTATTTCTAATATGCTTCTGTTTCGTGTTGTTTTCTCGTCTATGTTTGCATGAGACTTCGTATCTTATTCATATATTTCGATATTTTTCTCGTCTCGTTTTTTTTTCTCTCACACATCGCTTGTTAATTTGTTATGTTTATTGAATTACACGCGTATTTATATAAAGATAAAAGCAAATATAGGTACACCTCACTATATATATACGTGTGTATGTTGTATTGTCACGTGAAAAACACCAGGAAATGAATGTCGTTATCAATAGGCTTTCGTTGTGTATGAAAAAAAAAGAAGATTTGTCATTATCTCGAAATCATTAAATATGATTTTTCTTTTGCCTTTGTGTCGTTCATATGTCTTCCGGTTCGATGCCGATGAATATTGAATTATATTTCTTCATTCTTTCCTCCTCCTCCTCGTTCTCCTTCTTCGTTTCGTTATTATTACCAAGGGACAAAGTGATGTAAACACTTGAAAACTGACAAATCGTATTTTTTGTCATAGAAAAAATGTTGCTTACTCACTGTCGCTGGAATCGTCTCAGCGTTATTACTACTGATCATAACAGGTCTCGTTCTCAATGCACTTCGATAAAATGAAAAGTTAATGTATGAAAATAGCATCCAACTATGCATTGGATCGATTCGATTTTGCTCGCATTTGTGTTTGCATCCTATATGTTGTCTCGTTGTTTGTGATTGAGAATTGAAACATCAATTGCAGAGCTTTGTTTTTAGAAAAAAATCATTATCCTCATCTGCTTGGCTGTTATCATCGTTATCCTTGGATCCATGGTTGCTGGTTGGCTTGGTCTTAAAAGATAGCGTAAGTTCAATCAATCACGTCAGCTTTCATTTGTAATCAAATCAGTCATCGTTAATCAGACAAAATAAAGTTTAAAGAAGAATATTCAGTTGTGACGTTGAATCTCGTTTTATCTACGATTGTCCTACAGCTATTTCTTTTTCCTTAGGACCGACCTATATATGATCATATTATAACAATATACAACCATGTAACGATTCAAATTTATACATATATATCTTACAAACAAATAGTTAATTCTTAGTTCTTAATTTTTCTCTTCAATATGCAAAAAGAATTGTTCTTTTTGTTTTCTTTCTTTTTCCTTCTTTTACGTTTATGTAACAGTGGCTGTCTGTGCATTAGGATGTATTAAATGTTGAACAATTCAATCGGTTATACGTATTGAATACATATAGTGGAAAAATTCATAGAAAAAGTCTCTCTCGCACACACACAAATACATACAGTTTTATGTTGCTTCTTGTCTACGTATATGTCATGTCAGTCAAGTCAGATGAGTGGACGTGTTTCGTTTCAATCCTTATGATTCGAAGATAATTCCAGTTTTAATTTATTTGGATAATTATGCAAAACAAAAGAATCTCTATATACACACATATATATCGAGAAATATTCTTGATGGTCGCACTTTTATGCCTTTTGCATGTGTGCACACATGCGTGCCCTTTTCTAACATGAATGTTTTTGTTTATTTCCGTGTTTGTCCGTTTTTTTTTAATCACACGTGTATTACTCTCACATAGATTATTATTTTTTTCCATGAGTAAAAAATAAAAGTCGACGACTACATCACAAATTTAGATGCATTCAAAGTCTCGTGATGTTTTTATTGAATGAAAACGTAATATAGACTAAAAACCATGTTGAAAAACAAACAAAAAACAAGTTCTTCAGTTCTTTCTTTTTTGTACAAATGTATATGTTCAATTTGACTTTATGAACGGTTCAAGCCATTTCTCATACGCTGAAATTTTAACGTAAACACCTGGTGCCGTGCTTGGAGTGGTTGCTGCACCATACGATGTGATACCAAGAACAATCCATCGACCATCAGATTGACGAACAAGTAAGGGACCACCGGAATCACCACTCTGAAACACTTGTGCATCTAGATAACGGATTCTCTTTCAATTTCGGCTTACCATCGTATCAGCTAATTGATTGTAATCACCGGCACAGATTTCTGTATTGGGATCGAAAACACTGCCATAAGCACGACGACAATGATAGTCATCGAATACACGGACTTCAGCTGAAAAGAAAGACAGATCAACTTCGATTATCAAAAGCATATTCAGATGTTATCCGTCAATAAGGGGTCATCCTTGTGACCTTTTTCATTCATGATAAACACTGATGAAATAAACTTGATATAGAAGGAAACTTGTCATCACGATCAATTCGCCAAAGATACTTTCTCCCCTGATGTCATATTCACGTTCTTTTCATTGGTGTTTACTTGTCAGTCTTTCTCATTCGATGTTATCGGATACTTCAATGTCGTACTCGAAGATTAATTTCCTTATCTTCGATTGTTGAAAGACAAGCCGGTAAAATTCGATTATCGATAGGATCTATTTCACGACAATGATTTACCTTGTTGTAAAGTGAAACTTTTAAACGTATTGGTTATGCTATTTTGCGAACTATCACCCCATCCGATGATAGTACCAGTGCGATTAACGAGATCTTTTCCTTGACCAATAGTTGCATAGGGTTGATAAGGTAAACAAACCGAATTGATTCTCGGTCCGTAAAGAACGGACTTTGTTAATTTAAGTATCGCTAGATCGTTTTTACAGCAATTTTCGAATTTCGGATGACGATGTATGGCACTTATCGAATAGTAATTCATTGGATTTAGTTTACCAAGTATTGAATGCACACCGATGATTGCTTTCATTTCGCTTGCTGTTGTTTGTGTCAGACAATGTGCAGCAGTTAGGACAGTATTTTCATTGATAAGTACACCTGCACAACTCCAACCTTGACGAGGACTGGTAAACAATGATACCATCCATGGCCTATAAAAAGAAGATATTCGTCATGAATGATAATCTCCTTGCATTGAATTCATACCATGTATGCCAAATAGCACTATCGCCACCTCTGATTTTTGAAACAACAGCTGCTTGTTTGTGATAAATAGCCGGTTCGTTATCTGTAGCATAGCCACATCCGCGTGAAGTCGTTTCATGATGAGTCGCCTCTGAATGTCCCATGAAGAATGCTCGAAAACGGTAGAAAAGTTCCAAAAGATAGTCCTTGATCGTTGCTGCCGTTTGAGAGATTTTATCACCTACTTTATTCAAAAACTGTCCTAAGTCAGACGTTGGTGCTGCTTCGATTTGTATAACACCATTGAGAAGAAGGATGAATAGGAGAAGACTCATACTTCGAATTATACGAGACATGATTATGAAAGACTATGTCTCGTTCTTCCTCTACTTATACTTTCTCTTTCTATCTATCTATCTGTCTATCTTGCTTCTTTTTCTCCTCGTAGTAATACCATCTGCCATATTACGCATAGATAACCTAAACAATTCTTTTTCTGTTATCAAAGATCATAATATGATACATGATGAATAATGGCGAAGAAGAGAAAAACGGAGACGAGCATCAGAGCATGGAAGAAAAAGAAAATCTGTAACCAATGCGAAGTTATTCGTCTGACGTAGGCGGGACGAGTTTATACGTAGTATAAACAGTTCTTGCTTTTTATACGTGCTCAAGCGCATGACGCATTAATCATCATATTTACATCCATGTCCAAGAACCAGGCCAATTCACGGAGAATCGAAGAAACACAATAGCATTTTCCTGTTGAACTTCTATAAACCACGAGAGTACTTTCGAAGCTGTATATACGTATATTTATTTCATTTCTATGGCACATGGCATTCTCATTCGACAAAAAAGAGAAACGAGGAAGCAAAACAATGAAGAGAGAGAGAGAGAACAAAATTAACGGCTGTAAATTACATATAATTAAAATGAAAACAATTGTAGTTTTTTTCTCGACTTTCTTCCATTGAACATCCAGAAAAACTTAAATCTAGGTCTCGAAATGATTTTATAATATATATATATATTTAAATACATGGCTCAAATAAACAAGCAAAGTTATGTGAAATCATTCTGTAGATGTTATTCATGTTTGACTAGATCGTTGTGTAAAAGTGAACTTTCAATTAGTTGTATGTTTTGTTGTGTCATTCGTTACTTTCTGTTGTTGTTGTTGTTGTTGTAATTGTAGATAAAATGCTTGAAATTGTTGGAATATTTCTTGTTGGTTTGCTGTTGAAGGATCGAAGAACGGTGATATGGCATAGAATGGAATAAACATTGACGATGCTGCTGCTGCTGCGGCGGCGGCGGCGGCAGCGGCAGCCGGTGTTGTAGTGTCAGTCGCGGAAGCAAGATCAGTTCCAACTGATGGAGTTTTATTACGTTTCAATGATGACAGACTCACAGGTGTGTGTCGTTTACGTTTCGAGCATAAATTCAATGGTTGTTCATTGGCTTGTTTCGATGAAATTGAAAGATCTAATGGTTTAACATCGTCACTATTGAATTGAACATTTGAATTACAATGTGTAGCTGGTGGTGGTGACGATGAAGTTGGTGGCGATGTTATCCTGTGTTTAGTCTAATCAGTAGAAAAATGAATATAAAAAAAAAAGATTTTTTTCTGTTAACGCCTTACCGGATCCTCATTCGACATACTGTTCGAATCGTTTTCATTATTATGCATCTCTCCGCTGTCAAATATCGTTGATTTCGTTGATGAACTTTTCATTGGATTATGCATTGATGAAGGAGCAAATTTATATTTTTTGATACAAACATCACAACGACAATCACCACGATGTCGAATGTTAGTTGAACGAGGCGATGACGAACTAACAGAAGATGATGAAGATGACGAAACATGATTTGTCTAAAATAAAGCATTAAGTATATTATGATCTGAATCGTTCTTCTGTTGAATATCATACATCATATTTTTGAGAATTTTCATTTTCATTATCACTTCCGTCCCGTGAATCAAAGTCAGAATCAAGTTCTAAAAGAGTATACATTTGTCTAAATGATATCAATCTCAAATGACCACATACCAGTTATGGTACCATCATTATTGAAAACGATTCGTCGATTGCTGCGAACAATTCGATTGATCGATGACACACTTGGTAGTTTATCAGCTGGACATATGCCCTCTTTCTGTAGACTTTCTCGGATTTGCCAGGCAAAGATTTGGGGATTATTGCCTTTGTATTCTCGAATGCGCCGAACAACATCTGGCGTTGCCACTTTTGGTTTCGAACCGCCAATTAATCCCGGATGAGTCGTACCAAATAAACGATACCTATTCAAAAAAAAAAGAAATTCAAGTCAACAAGTACTCCTCAATGAAAAAATAGGTTTTTCTTAAGTAGTACGCTATGGTTAGTGACCATCACCACGAGCTTAATTTCTTACACTATGCGCAAAGAAGAAGAAGAGACAAGCGTCTAGACAACATGTAAAAACAACTGAACATCAAACATTCTAGTGGTCTTTCCTACAACGTACCGTTTTAATATTTTACTAACACAACCATGTGACACTTGTAGCTAGAAAAGCAAACATCGGTTAAAAGGGCAAACTAAAATCGATCGGCGTTACTTGACGACTTATTTCACATGGTCGCACACCGTTTTCAGCTAAAGCAACGATTCGCTCTCGCGTATCGGTTGGTAGGGGCCGTCCATTGATAAATTCTCCGCCAAGTTGATTCATGGATGAGGAACAAAATCGATTTTTATCTATGGAACGAAGTAGATACAAGAATAAATATATACGAAACGTCGAAATATGAGTACTTACGTCGTTTAACACCGTTGGAAACGTTACTCGATGTATCTTGAAAGTTTTTATACGCTAAAAAATCAAATAAATTAATTCGATTTCATGGTTACGGCAATCATATTTATCTAACGTACAATTTCTTGTTGTTGCGTCTGATTCATTGTCGATACTATCGTTCTTTTCGTCACTATTATCAGTAACGTTTGTCTTGTCATCATTATTATTCTGATCAGTCGAATGAGTATCAGTCATTGATGTATCAGCCATCATTAAAAAGTAAAACCAGAAAAAAGAAAGAACTAGCAATAAATGCTTGTCATGATCTAAAACAGAGTAAATTAAGTTAAATGGATATCCCAATCAATATTCGTTTCGGTTCTTTTTTGTCCAGATTTGATTGTGCATGACTAATACACGCTTATTTAGTTACAGCTTTTTCTTTTCTACCGTCTACTTACAATTGAGAGTTTAGTGCTGCGATTAGGTTTTTTTTATACTTCGAATGTAGAGTGTGAAGCTGCTGCTTTACTGGCAACAGCCGAAAAAAAAATAGAAGGACATTTTTCAAGATTATAGATGCGGCTGTCGTCGTCGCCCACACTCTTCTCATTAACGATCGATTTTGTTCACGCACGAGTTCTCTTCGTTGCCGTCAGTACTGCCTTTCCTTTAACTCTTTTGCTCTCCTTGCGACGCAAGCAGCCACGTCCATATATGAAGAACAGAAATAGTTGTAAAAAAAAAAGAGAGCGACACAGAGGAAAAAGAAAATGCCAGGCGTGCGTTCGTGCACTGTAAAAAGGAGAGAGACAGACACGCTTCATCTACTCGAGTAATCAGCCGCCCGGCAACACATACACATACATGCATGCATCGATGTCTGACTACAAACTCCAGAATCAACACACTCGATGATTACCAGAATAGGAAAAAAAGAAGAAGAAGAAGAAGGAAAAAAAACTGAGAATCGAAAAGAATTCGTACAAGCGTGACTAATCGCATGTGTAACGAAGCAAATAGCATACGATGTTGTGTGCGTGTATGTGCATATGAAATGAAAGTGAGAGAAATGAGGAGAAAAAGACAGGTTGTTTCCAGTTTGCAGTCAAATAAATGTTGCGGATGAAAACAAAGCTAGTAGAGAAAAATGTGTATGGGTGATAGTGAGTGGTTTATGCATGAAAGATAATGATTTTTCTTCGTATATATTCTTACTTCTCATTTTTTTTGCATCTACCTATATTGGCACTGTGAATAAATATAAATGTGTGTGTGTGCATGTTAGCAACGATGCGATTCAGAATGCGATCGACGAACGAGCGACACGCATATGAAGCGAGAGCAGGAGAGAGAGAGAATAGCGGCGCCGTTCGTTGTTCATCATGTGGAACGAATCTTATTCCTCTTGCTCTCTCTACTCATTGCCAATGCTGATGCGTTTGCTCCCTCTCTCTCTTTCAGACATATCATCAAGCAGCCGTGCCCGCCCTACTTTAACCTATGAAGAGAAAAGTGCTTACATACACACTCACATACTCACTCAAACGCTCGGTCATGCGTCGTTCCACATATATGCAGAAAATGACGTAAAGCTTTTGGCTGCCTGCTAAGAGATTAGACATGTAGAACCTTGACACTACACATCACGATGATAGACAACTCAATTAGATCGATAAATCGCCATATTCAACGGCAATCGACTGAGAAATATAAAAAAAAAGACGGCTAGAAAAATAAAATAAAATAAAAAGGAGAAAGAGATGAACCAAGAAAAGAAAACATAATTAAACGTCACACATTTACTCATGATGAACGTTAGACAAGAGAATAAGAAAATATAATGAGATGACGCGCAATGCATACTGAATTACTACGATATATATTGGTTGCTATTTGTCGTGGACCAACAGTACACCAAAATGAGATGAAGAAAAATGGTAGTGAACGAAAAGGTGATCCGCTTTAGTCCGTCATTCATCCATCTCATTCTCTCCTCGTTCTTCTTCTTCTTCTCCTCTTTTTATATATATATATATATTACTCGCCCTATTGGCTTTGGTTCACCATTACGGTGATGAAATCATGCATTTTCTATGTACATTCTTTGTATTCGCGTACAACCTATGAACATCTATACATTGATGTAATCATGTAGCTCTGCGAACGTTGATGATGTGGGTGTTACTATCGGAGAGTTCCATATGTAAGCGGCATCGGGTGACACGCATCACGGTTCGATTATTCTTTGTTGTTGACGCTACTGAATAGCACGACTACGGTGAAAGGAATAGACGTGTGATATACGTTCTTATGCTGGAAAGGAGCGAAGAATGGGAGCGACGAGAGATGATTACACTGGGTACTTATATACGTGTGTGATGCGTACGTAAAAAAACACGCGATAGTGCCAGTATTATAGTCTTCGAGAAGCGACAAGATGCATGATATACACCATAGTGGAAAAAAAACGTGTAGTGTTGTGTTGATGAAAGTCGAACGAGCATACGAACGAATTGAAGGATGACATTTAGACACCTGTATTTGTTCAAGTTGATAAGGCCATCGATGATATTCATCATGGTTGCGCTCGGAGAATTTACGTCTATTCTTACTTATTTTATTCAGGAATCTATTCGTAAAATAGTTTCTTTGCTTGAATACCTTCCTTCATTCTTTCGTCATTTTAACCAAAGTCATATTTTATACTTACCTTCCTACCATCTTTTATTTTTATTCGTGTTTGTCTTTGTCTCTCTGCCTTTTTCCTCTCTCTGTCGCTCTCTCACTTTCTTGATAGATACAAAACGGCATGCAGTGTGCACCAACACTCACGTCGCGTTGTCTCATTTCGTTTGTTCCGTTCTCGGCGCGGTTCGGTTTCGCTTTGCGCGCTTTTAATCTTTTTGCCCCTTCACCGTGTATGTCTATGTGTATACACGAGTGAGTGTGTATATGCTCGTTTCTCTCTTTGTGTATGTCAGCTATTGATTCTTTACAAACACACACACGCATGCGCGCATACTCACACATAGAGACGATGATGGGAAGAGAGGCACACCGAGAAGGTGGGTGGAAGAACGATGTAGAAGCAGAGAAAGGAAGACAGAGGCAAAGACAGAAGATCACCTTCTACATACGATCGCATATATGCATGTATACATATATAAATATTGGTACACAAGATGACTATTCTGCTGTTTGTTTGATATATGACTGTTGGAGGGTAAAAGTAGTCTCGCATTTCGTTCCATTCCGATGACGGCAGAGCTGACGTTAGCTCGAGAAATATTTCTACGCAGTTACGGAGAGATGGTTTTTTCTTTCTCTCCATTTCTTTCTATATCTATCGTTTATTTCTTATATTGCTTCCTTTCTCCCTCTTTTTCTTATCAATACAATAACTACTCTAACTCTCCTAGGTTTCTCTTTACCATCATACAAATGTGCATGGATGTATAGATGTATATATATATGCATCCATCTCCAGAGACCGTGAAAATATGCCATGCTTCACTGCTATAGAGAGTTGATCGGTCGATCTAGTGCGCGTGCATATATATATATATATATATATATATGCGTATACATGTAAGTTCACGAAAGGCACTATATAACACAGAGATGTGAAGGAGAAGAAGAAGAAGGAGGCTCATGCATGCATGAAAGCACGTCGTCGTCGTCGTCTTATCATCGATTCATCAATACTACTCGTGGAACTCGGTTGAGTAAGAAGAGTAGCGCAGCGCGGCCGATCTAATGAGCAACGTTTCTATTTCACGCTCCAAAGAAACAGATTTTAAGCATTGTGCCCGCAAGAAATTCCATCTCAACACTAACAAGCATAGGAACACTCTTCTATCTCACTCTATATATGTGAACATGTGCATATGGCATGATAGAAAAGAAAAGGTAAATCGACAGCGAGATGCAAAAAAAGAATATAATGATGACTAGTGTAATCACTTCCAGTATTTCAATGGATGACATGCATTTGATGAGCATCAGTCAAGTGCATGCGTGTCGTATTCGTGTTCATTTCGATTATAAGACTGACTATATACGTGTGTGTGAAGAAGATGATGACAGCCGAATCATGATTATCGTACTTCCCGAGTGACTTAATGAATGAATCAATTGTAATAGATGTATCTCAATAAGAATGACATACACGGAAGGAACGTCATCGGATATTGCACTCTACCTACAACTACGCTGTGCTCATCTCTCACTTGTGTCCGTGATGAATCAATTGGCCATTTAAACTGTACATGAAAAGAAATATTCGTTTCGACTTTATAACCGAGAAAAAAATGAATCTGAACTATTTTATATGAATTTGAATTGAGCAATAGTACATTTGCTATTTGATTCAACCAGATCACCATTTATGTTATGTTTAGAGTTTATGATGCATTTTTCTAATTAGGCCAATGTTCGTTGTCAATTTTATAGATGTCGTGAAGAAAGCTATCGAGTGGATATGCAAAAATACCAATCGATAGAAACTAGCAAAGCAAGAAGAAGAGTTATTCTTTTCTTATTTGTTTGATAGAAAATGCTGAAAAGATTATTTCATTTGAAATCATGCATTCGTTTTCATCATTGTACAGCTATACCGCTTGATAATCGTGCGCTAATTCAAGTTCATGGTACTGACACATCGAAATTTCTCCAAGGATTGATTACGAACGATATCGAATTTTTAAAAACGACAAATGCTATTTATAGCATGTTGCTCAATGCTCGTGGAAGAATTTTGTATGATATGATTATTTATAATCACCAAATAAACAAGTCATCGTATTTAATTGAAATATCTCAAAACGCGATTGCAGATTTTCTTCGTCTCTTACGCACATACAAACTCCGTCGACAGGTTAACATAGAAGATGTGACGTCAAAATATCGGATTTGGTCGTTGTTATATTTACAAGACGAAGTTGCATCGACAACCAATGATCTTCGTGAAAACTTCAATTTCAAAACACGGCAAGGTTTAATCGTTGGCCAATCCGATCCGCGACATGCAAGTCTTGGCATACGTCTGATAACCGAGCGTCAAACGCAAATTACTAATCTTGTCGATTCCTGTACTCCATCAAGTGATTCCTCCATTTATAAACGATGGTTATATCAACACGGAATAGCCGAAGGAACGGAAGATATTCCGCCGGGCGAATGTATTCCTCTCGAGTATAACATCGTCTTTCTCAACGGTGTTTCGTTCAGCAAAGGATGTTATATAGGGCAAGAGTTAATTGCACGTACACACCATACCGGTGTCATACGTAAGCGTCTAATGCCAGTTCAAATAACAAACTATGAAGAATTATCGAAAAGTTCGGATAACAAAACGAACGACTTGACCATTGTCAATGAAGAAACGAAAAGACGTGCTGGAAAATTACGCTCGTCCATTGAGCACGATGGAATTGCACTGATACGTTTGAATGAGTGGAGAAATTCGTTACGAATACAAAATGCTGATGTGTCGATCACACCTTCGATACCTAATTGGTGGCCACCGCTTGATGAAGCGACGAAACTGGAAATGAAGCTGGAACAATCTAGTTAAAACGGATAAATCTTCGTATTTTTATATTTTTTTTGTAATAAAAATGTCGATTGTTTTCTTCCCTAGTGATCGTCGTGACTAGCATTGGAAACGGATGGTTCTTGTTTCGTATTCATTTCAGCATACGCGTTGTTTCCATGTGATGTATTCTGACGCATATTTTCTTGTATGAAATGTTTTCGTCGGCCTTTCTTTCGGCGAACTAATAGTTCACCCGTTTTTCGAACTAAAATTTCACAATGAGCATTCATATCGATCGTTTGACCAATTTCTTTCAACGTCTCAATTAATGTGCCCAAATTCTCTGCTATCCATGTATTTCCTATAAAAAAACAAACTTAGATTTTCTTTCGTTTTCAAACTATACAGATCAAGACCCGATTTTCGAGCGTAAATAATACCACCCGATGATGAAAGTGTTTCCATTTCTGGTGTGTAGACCACAGGTGTTGGAAAACAAAGTGGCGGTGGTATATCCGTTTTCTGAGAACCGTAGCCACAGCCCATGGGTTTTTGCTGTGGGAAAGTATTCGTCCTGGGCGCTGACGCTGCATCGCAACGAATTGGAGCTGACTGAACGCAGCAATTTCGATCAGTATTCGCCCAATTAGACGATGTTTGGTAGTTCGGCATGTTATATGAATAACAATTGGAATTCATTGGTTTTTCATTTGAAGAAAGATTTGTTCTTTGTTGATTGAGGTGATGATGGTGGTTATTATTTTGAAACAGATATGTATCGATGGGCTTGATAGATTCTTGTAGTTTTGTTTCGTCGACCATCGATGGTTGAGTATAGAAAATAGTTGAAAATTGCATCAAGCTTTCCGACAGACAATATAACTCGTGTGATAAATTCCGATAGAGCGAGCGTGTTTGATCAACTCGAAGAAATTCAGCATTCTGAATCGCAATTAGGCATGAGTTCTTTGTTTCGTTCAACTCGTTTTGAGTACTCACTTTAACTTGTAAAAGGAGATTATAGAAGTAATTGTTGATCGTTCGAATATGTTTGATGATGGGGCTCAAGTCTTGCCATTGTAGAGCATTCAATTGATCAACACAGGTTTGTATCGATCGCCAGATTTGAACAGGATCCAGATTTATTGTGAGTTGGAGTGTTCGATTGGGAAGAAACTCTTCAATAAGTTGAGTGATTAACATATCGAATAGAGATGCCATTTGTTTAGCATAATCACTACGTAACTGAAATAGCTGATTAAAATTCACATTCTTATGGCAGACTGTTTGAATATTGACAGTTAAATCTTGAATGAATTGGACTAATTTACTCGAAACAGATTCGATCTGTTGATCAAGCATAGTATTCATTAAAAAAAGAGTGAAGTGTAACTAGTTTATCGCGCCTATGAATATTTCTCACGAAAGAAATTTATTAAATCTTCAATTCTACATTAATAAAAAGAACACAGAAGAGAGAACACACAAATATGAAAATTGCAGAAAATAATTAATCGTCATCTGTATCCGATGAATTGAGTTGTGCTGCATTGAATGATCGAGCAGATGATTTGATTGTATCGGCAACATCATCGTCTTCCTCGTCGTAATTATTACCTGCGCTGCGAACTTTACTTTTTGATTCATCGAAATCTGTCGAATAAATTTTCTCCCCTGTTCTCGTGCTCAACAAGAGATCTTCGTCTTCTTCATCATCGTTTCCATTGAACTGACGTCGTGGGTGTTGCTGCTGTTGTTGTTGTGGATGTCTTTTTGACATAGAAGACGACGTTGATGAATCAACATCATGATCGGAAACTTGTTCGACTTCGTCGTAGATCGAACTTGGTTTCTTGATAACAACAGTGGGTTTTAGAATAATGCCTGGTGGTGAATGAGTGCGAGCTGATGATGACGATGATGATCGATCTCTGGGCAATCTCCTTTGTTCAAATGCTGCTGTTGTGAAACGACCTGTACCTCCCATAGGTGATTCTCGACGTGGTATATTCCGTTCATTGTCTGAACGAGACACTTTACTCTCTGTATTTAAGTCTTCTTCGAAACTGGACATGTTATATTGTTCAGGTGGAGGCGAAGGCGATATGGATGGCTGCTTTCGAGTAGGTTTTTGTACTGGACGATGATGTGATTGAGAAGGTGTTTTGACTCCTTTTTCAACATCAGCTAAAGAGATTTCCTGACCTAGTAATTCGTTTTCAACTAGTTTTTGACTTAATTCAACAGTTAATAGTTCAACTTCTTGAACGACAGTCAATAGAGCTTCGTCAAGTAAAAATTCCGACAATCTAGAAAATAAAATCGATTCTCATCTAGCATCTGAATTGATCTATTATTCGAGGATAGAATGTCTTGCGCTCACCTGTTAATAACTCGACATGGATCGAAATCTTCGTTCTTAGCAGACTCTGTTCTTTGTAAATAACTTTGATAGTCTCGTCGGTAACGTTCGATTTGTCGAATCTTTCCCGAGTCTAGGCCGACCAACCGAATCTGTCCTCGTGATGATTGTGGCACTGTTGTCTGTTCAAATGCTTGTTTGACTTCAGTGGATTTTGTCATAAAATCCTCTAATGCCTGTTCATATGAAGGTGTATGGATATGAACATTCTCTGGTAGGAGTGATGATATTGGTGGTGGTGAATCGATGTGAAATTTGACTGTTCGTGTTTGTCGCAAATTTGTGTCACTTTCTAATCGATTTGTTCTGTAATTTTGAAGACGTTGTCGAATTTGTGACATTTCATCTTCCCACGTAGTTATCTGCGCTTGATACACATCCATGTTTACTCGACGAGCATGTTCTTCAGGTGTTTCAAAAACTTCAATGTTAGCTGTCGATGGTAACGGCTGAGTTTGTTGACCTAGTCTGGGCATTAGCATTTGTAATACTCTCCCAGTAATCTCATCGTCAGTTAAACGATTATCTACTAAAAACATTGGAACTAATGTTCGTGCTCGTTCAATTTGTTTTGATAGTTCAGCTCCGTCATAGTTTGCAAGAAGTTGAGGAGCTAGTTTTACAAGAATATGATCAACGGTAAAGCGTGAATGAAACGGTGTTTCAATTGATGAAGCTGATCGTATTGATGGTAACGGTGAATGGCTGCGCGCTCTAGTCTTATGTTGCATGGATATTGTTGGACGAGTAATAGATGATGCATCGGTACGAGGTAATCGCACTGACTCAGCACTACGTGGTCGCAAGACAGATGGTACTACACGTGGCTTTCGTTGCTGCTGCTGCTGTTGCTTCTTTTTTACCAATTCAGTGTAAATAGCGGGTAGAAGATGATTTGTTGGTGTCCCCGTTCGAGTTTCAGCTGAAGGTCGAGCGCGTACGGTTTTAGATGATGGCATACGAAGATAAGACGAGTCAATTTGTAGTTGAGATAAACCAAGTGCGTAGTTCGTCTGAGATAGTGTCTCAAGAACAGAGAGAATTGAAGTCAGAAGTTGCTGAACAGGTGTATCTTGCTGTTTCAGCGGAGCTTCATTTGCAAGTGTCTCGACAGCAAGGAGAATTGCTTTATAAGCATTGAGATGACGATGATGAATGCGAGGCTATAAAAACAGAAGAGTTAAACATGCTCGCGTTTTTACAGTGATACGTACTAGATTTGCATCTGGTTGAGGAATATCATGCAGTATTTGTTTGAGTTCCTGGTGTGCATTATAAATTGCACGTGAATCGCGTTTGACTCTTTCACGTTTAAGTCGAATTCGACGTTGTTTTTCTTGTTCTGTTTCGTCGATGATATTTTCTCTCGATGGCGGATTATGTAAAATGCGTAATTGTAATAGAAGTTGATCGTGCACGTCATTTAACTCATTTTGTCTCAATGAATCTTCGGGACGTGTGAACTGAATCGGTGTAGGTGTAGTTTGCTGTCGATTCGATTCGTTGGTATATGATTTCTTAATGGGTATTGATCTTTTTGGAGCTGATGCTGAACGCGCCGCTGGTTTTTGTGTCCGTTGAACTGGTGGTTGTGAAGAACGAACGTTTCGCTGCTGAAATGTTTGTTTCCGTGCATTTTTTTCATCCAATTCTTTTTTCCATCGGTCTTCTTTCAGTTTTCGCTGTGCTAAGAATTGATACATGTGTAGTTTATTCGCATCAATTGACTGCAGTTGTGGCGATGTTGTCGATGGATAGTTGTTGCGAGGGATCGTTTGCTGCAGAAGGTGCGGAGCTCGACCAAATGAGAACGGAGCTGGATGTGTAACATTGATGAGATTGAGTGGAGAAACGAATGCATTCTCATGAAATTGTAGATAATTGCGTGGTAAATCACTGCTAGTTGGAGTCGGTTGAAACATATCCGGATCTTTTGACTTTGATCCAAACGGAAAGGCGAGGAGAGAAAGAAGGAGATCATAGGTGTTGTCTCGACGACGAACATTCAACGGCTAATGAAACATACATACTGTAGAGGACGCTTTCACTTACAACACTCTAGCACACTGCCTGTACAATCATAATACGCAGAACAGTTTTCGTTCACTTCAGTTTCATCTACGTTAGACGAGTATATCTTTCGAAAATGAAAACAATTATATTCATTCCACACTCAGATCATATGGCATGATCATAACCAGTGATTTAAACTACAGTCGCTTCCGAAGCATTATTTGTGTGAATCTTCGTATAAATCACGAGAAAATTTGATTTTCCACTTGTTCCAAAAAAGCTAATCTCTGCGCAGCCTTGTCATACTAACTTTCGAGGAAACAAAACTGTTCCATTGGTCTAAAATAACCTACGTATCACGCATAACGGAAAATGATTCATCGACGATGAAGATGAAGAAAAACAGAAAGTCATTATATTGTCATACAGAGTGTCTGCTGAACAATTAACGTGATTTTTTTCAAGTCGAATGGCATCGAACTCACCGTACGCAGATCTCGTCGATCGACCACTTTTTGGTGAAACCAGATCTCGAGTAAGAAAATATGAAACATTCCTACTACGAATCGTAAATTCTCTTTTTTTTTGTTCTTCAGGATCGAATATCATTCATGATCATCACAGCAGTTACAACTGTCTTCGTTCTAGTAATTCATCTTTTCTCAATCAACGAATGCCTTTGAAATTCTTTCTAGGCAACCTTTGTTGGCATGTTTCTTTTCAAACACATCAGTGGGACTCATATTTTTCTGAATATCTGTCTTATACTTCTACTTGGCTCGCATTTATGTCTAGTAAGTCATTCGAGCAAGTGCCAACTCGATCTATCTATCGCTTTTTTGTCAGGCATTTTGGTACCGATCAGGTGAACTAGAACCACGTTTTCGAAATATGCTATTTTTCAACACCGCTATTATTATTTTATTATGTATCTGTGCCAATCTGATAATTAGCGGAAAATAAGTTTTATATCGACTCCAATGTAAATATTGTCTGTGTTCGATAATTGAATTAAAATAAAACAAGCTTTCTCTAGCCGATCGATAGGTTCGAAACGGTCATGTTAACTTGTAACAAATCGAACATACGAATATTGTCTTTAGTTGAATAAAATCAAAATGATGTCAATATTCTTCGAGCAAAAGTTTCATCGTTACTGAATCATAATGCTAAGCATAACTAATTCTGTTGTTTATTATCCAACGGAAAGGCGGCGATAAAATGAAAAAATCATACTACTACAAATCACTGACTATGTTTGTTGAAAACCGGGAGTGAAGCAAAAAAAAGGATCGACTAAAATAAGGTCATGTATATTGATTGATGATTTAATCGGAGCTTGTTGCTTTGACCGCATCGTTTTTCTCTTCGACCAATTCCTTTTGTGTTTTCTCAATCATCTCGCGTGACCATTCGTCGATTTTCAATCCTTGAACAATAGAAATTTTGCCGTCTTTGATTTGAACTGGATAGCTGAAGACCAAGCCTTTTTCAATGTCGTATGAGCCATCACTGATTACACCCATTGAAACCCATTCGTTCTGAAACAAATTGTTTTTGTTTAGAAGAAAAGAACAAATTGACAAATTTAAGTTTTAACTAACTTACATCTTTTGTTCCGTTCCACCAATCACGCATGTGATCGCAAATGGCTTTAGCTGCTGACATGGCACTTGAAAGTTTACGCGCAGCAATAACAGCAGCACCACGTTTTTGTACAGTCTAAAGAAAAGATACGACATGATATGAATAGTTCCAAGTTAGTTTTCATGCTTACTGAGATAAAATCGTTTTTAAGCCAGTTGTCATCTTTGACAGCATCATAAACTGGTGTATCTTTGCCATTAACGTTGACGGTAGCTGAACGAACATCGGGAAATTGTGTTGATGAGTGATTGCCCCAAATGGTAACATTTTTAACATTTTCAGGTGAAACTTTCAAACGGTTGGCGATTTGAGCTTTAGCACGATTATGATCTAAACGTGTTAAACAACTGAAATTTTCTCTTGGAATTGATGGAGCATAATGAGCAAGAATATAGCAGTTGGTATTGGCTGGATTACCAACGACGAGAACCTGATGGAAACATATACGTAGCGAAGTGAATGACGGAATGTGTCTCTTACCTTGACGGATTTCTTGGCGAATTTATCAAGTGCAGTTCCTTGTGATTTGAAGATTTTTACATTGGCATTGAGTAAATCTTTACGTTCCATGCCTTCTTTACGTGGCATAGCTCCGACCAACAAAGCAACATCAACATCCTTGAATGCGGTCTCTTCGCTGTCAGTTGGTATTGCGCCTAAATGAGGATAGTTCGATGAGTTTATTCGATAATATGATCTCACCTTTAACTAAAGGTAAACTAGTATCTTCGATCTCCATAACCACGCCCTGAAGTACGCCCATCATTGGTGTTATATCAAGTAAATGAAGAATAACAGGCTGAAAATAGAAGAATTATTTTCTTTCAAAAACGATCGATTTAAGGAGAGAAAGGAGAACTTACTTGATCTTTGCCGAAAACATCACCGTTACAAATTTGATGAATCAATGAATAAGCGATTTGGCCAGCAGCTCCAGTGATGACAATACGAATGGGTTCTTTGGTGCCCTATTTGTTTAGATGCAGATACAAAAATACGCAAATGTTCGTTTCATTTTTCTTACTGATGAAGACATAGATTGGTACAAGTTATGTAAAAATCTTAAAGATAGATGAACTTTAAAGCGATGAAAAAATAGGTAAATACAAGGGGTTATATACAGCAAGCAATCGACGAGGGGGGATTGTACCTAGATGGCAACGTAATGTATAGACGAGACGAGAAAGAGAAAAACGAAATATGTGAGGATCATTTTGGATTGGCTGTCCGCTAAACCAATGAATGCTTCAGTTTCATGTCAGCCTGTGAATGAGTAAGGAAATGGATGTACATCTGTCATCATTCATCTGTTTATTGTTTCTCTTAGTTTCCTCATAGACAATGAACTAATGATCAATGTCAATTTTATTCTCCTATTTTGTCTTCAATTATGCAACGTGATTATTGGTCATGATCGTTTTCTTAGTCTTATACCATGTGATCAAGTTCCCGTTGAACTTCTCGATTGTTCAATAACGACAGACTGTGTTTATGGTGAAGAACTTTCAAGTTCATGTCGAACGTTGAACGGTTCATGTTTGAACACGAACCAGAAGCCTGTTTCATGGTTTCAACGTTCGTACATATGTCGATACTGTTATCAAGTACCATTGGATGATTTAGCTTGTACACACAATATTGCTTGTCGTCATCATCAAAATTCCAATCGTTACAAATCCAATTGTACCATTGCTGATAATACTCAACTTTGCTTAGGTTCACGAACGTTTTATCGAAACATCGAATGTAATTGGACGAGTGGATATAAGAAATGGAATGCCTTATTATTGAGTATTTTTGTCGGTGGTCTTGGTTTCGATCGATTCTATTTGGGACATATTAAAGAAGCGTTTGGAAAGATATTTTCCTTTGGTGGTCTTGGTATTTGGACATTGATCGATTCGGTACTTATTGCTTGTGGTTATCTAACACCAGATGATGGTTCAGTTTATATTGAATAATAAACACATAGACGCATTTTCATTATTTGTAAATAAGTGACGAAAAGTTGTTTTTTTTTTCTATTAAAATATATAAAAAAGCTATATTCATAACAGAAATGTCGTTACGTGTCAACAGTCGGAGAATGTGAATACAGAAAACTTCGTTTGTTATCGGTTTCAGATATGTCTTTGAATAATGAAGTTATTCCACGTAATAAACCATTCATACGTGAAAGTGAATCTCAACGCGTACGAATGCCAATCAATGATTCTCACATTTTGAATCTAGCTCCTCCACCTTCAACAGCTCTCTATTCCTCATCAAATGTTCGCCCATCGGCAATTCCAGGCAACTTCAACATGGCTCCACCACCCTCTTCATCGGTCTCAACATCATCCATGCTAGGTGATGCGATGTCAACTTTTAACAAGGAACGTTTACACGACGTTTTACAACAAGGTCTTGGCACATATGTATATATCGAACACTATGGGCTTGTTCCCAAACTAAATCATTTCTAAACCTTCTTTCATTCTTGTTCAATCAAAAGACGAAAAAAAAACACTAACACAGATATTCTCTTTATAATCACAAAAAGACTAGATGAAAAAATAAACCTAATATTGACAAATAACTGCAGTAAAGTTTCTTTCCTATTGTATTTAAAAAAATAATTCATATCTAATAATTAATATTAAATGCTCGTACGCATCCAGCTAGATAACATGAAACATAAAATTGCGTACCAGCACGATTTGTACAAATGCCCGATGGACGTTTAATATGTTCATTCAACTTCAACGTGGTTTTATATTCACCTTTCGATGAAAATACCTAAAAGACAAAATTGAACGATACACTTGCAATCGACAATTTTTACCTGTATTCGATCATTTTTACTATCAGCACTAATAATATTTCCACCGGAATCAACAAATAAACCCGACGGATCTATCAGTTGACCATTTCCCCGTCCTTGACCACCAAATACTGTGGTACAGAAAAATTCAAATTGATTACGAATAGTTGTACCATAGATTAAACTACGACCTAACATAAACAACTAATTCCCTCCTGTTCCGTTCATGTCAAATATTCTTACCGAGATCAGCTATGTAGATATTATCATTATGCACAGCCAGAAAGCGTGGTTTACTAGTTGCATCTGGTAGAATTTTGCCTTGGATATGGCTAATATTTTGTTGTTTCAAAATTTCTTCGGACTCTTTATTAATAACAATGCGCTGTTCAAATACAAGCTGGCGACTGTCTGGATCGAATAGTAGCAATCGACTGTTTTCAGCAGTTTTATTATCTGTTGCTTTCGATTCGATGGTTAACAAATAACGATCACGAAACAAAGCAATACCTAGTTAGAAGGGACATAGTTGACTTTGTTGTAGAAAACAAGTACAAACCATATAGTTGTTTGATCGAAGGATGACTTATAGTTTGTATCAAACGGCCATCAGGTTCAGTCACATAAATATGTTCTCGTTCGACAATGAAGATATTGTCACGTGCATTGCTCATCACAGCACTTGGACGATGTAACTTCATTTGCTGAAATTGAAACAAAGTCACGGAATACATTCTAAATAATGCAAACGAATGAACCATACCTGATTACTAGAAATCGTATGTTTTAATTGACCAGTTCGAACATCAAATAAACGAACACTCTGCGAATTGCGGTGGACATCACATGAAAGTAATGTTAATTCATCGTATGACAAGCCAACACCAATCGGTAAACATGTCGCCTGTGGACCACTTTGTGGAGTACCATATGTCATACATAGATCACCACGTAAAATGTGTCGGTCTATAATCAAGACTGAGGAAGTGCGTAGTTATTTCAAATAGAATTACTTGGTTTCGTTGCGTATTCTTGAATGAATTCGTCAGTTACATGTGAATTAACAATAGCTGTTGTATGATTTAGATGTGATTGTTCCGCAATGGTAGAGAGGTTGTATTTAATTGGATGCCAACTAGTTTACGAATAAAATGACACGCTATATACATATATGCATCTATAGAATTCTCAAAATTTACCATGCATCGGCTGTATCTCGATCGGTAAAATATGGGTCTAGATAATATTCTCGTCCCTTTTCCAGATTCCAGTTATCATTATCCCTACAAAAGTGATGTTTTGTAAACAAATCGATAGTTATTTTAGCTCCTTTTCTTACATCGTAGGTACAGATGACGTGCCATATAATTTGAGTGTATTACCAAATTGAATGGTACCTTCGCACAATGACGTTGGTGTTGCTAGATTGCGTTCGTGGCAAAAATAATTGTTACCTTGGTTGATTGCATTTGTCTTTGACGATGAACATTCATGTTGCGATATTACTGTGTTTGGATCGATATCCTCTGCTCCTACGGTCGAAAACGGATGTGGTGGGAAAGCTGCGACTGCCGCCGCTGGTTTTTTCGTAGACTGAACAATCGTTTCTGTAATTTCGTACTCATTCGAAGAAGATATAGTAGACACTGGTCGTGGTGCTATTGATGGTGTTACATTTGTATCCTTTGGTAGTGATGCAGAAGTAACTGTTAAATTCTTCATTTGATTCATAAGTTTTGTTGTAATTGATGTTGCCGCTAGTGCAACGCTGGAATTCGGTATTGATTGAGATTCTGCTATAGAAGATGGTGGTGGTGGAATGTTGAAACTGGCTGCTGCTTCTTTCGAAATGGTACTATGATATCCATTGGTATGACCATTAAGCTTTCGCGAATCTAATACAAATAAGAACAGCGATTAGTTTTGTGGTACACGTGGGAGTACACTACCTAAATTTCCATAAATGTTCGGGATGATGTCTTGTTTGTCTACCTTTTCAATGGGTATTGTTACATCAAGATCACCATTTGATGACAAGGCGTGTACTTCAACTGGTAGAGAATTGATCTTCTGAAGATTAGTCAATACTGCTAAAATAAAGAATGAATGACAAAGGTGATTACCTACACTTTTCAATTACCTGACATGTTTTTATACATATTTGTATAACTTGTATTGTCATTGTCTGTCGAAACGAAGAGAATGATGTCCTAATTGAAGTGTCTCACGACAAGATTTTTACTTTGTTGCTGAATAATTGCCAAGAGACTTCGATGGATTGACTCAAGTGTTTGTGACGATTGTTGAATGGTATCCGGATCGATCCAAGTTAAGCAATCATCAATAGAATCCTTGAGTTTTTCTAGCAAGAACAACAAAAAGATTGTTTATCGAAAGGAATCGCGCGATCTAAGACAAAGTTACTGGCAAACTGCTGAATGTCATCGTAGATCAATTCAGAATCAGGTGCAAAACGGATGAAAGTCTGTGTAAGTGACAATAAGATGTTAAATGTATCTTCTGGGTTGTTATGTAATAAAGTTCGACAATCTTCAAGAGCTGGTTGTAGAAAAGTATTAACAGCATATGCAAATGGATGAATTCTATTCAAAAACAGCAGTTCAAATGGAATGGAAAAGAAAATTCCTACTGATGAGCAAGAAATCTGAATAGAAGGATTTTTGGTCGATCGAAACTTGTCGACGATGATGTATTTTGTTTCATAATTGATCGAATACAAATGAGAAACGACACTAACTTGTCTGACTATCGTCCCTCACTTTTTTTTACCCATTTTTCGAATCCAATCGTATTTTCTTTAGTAAATCTAGTGTTTGTACTGCGTGCGACATCTTGGATGTTTTAAGTGAGAGAAAATTTTATTCAAGAATTGATAATGGAAACACCAACAGATCCATACAGGTAGTTTTTATCAAATATCTGACAGAAAAATCCATAAAAAACATGACACCAAAGAATGTACAACAAAAAAAAACGAAGGAAAAATGTTCATGTCCACCAAGATTTAGAATGGAATCAACGGAGATGGTGTGGAAGCAGGAATAGCCATTGATTTGGACGTATCGATTGATGTTAAAGGAAGTTGTTGAAGTAGAATATGACCGTGATCAGTGTTGCTATTGGATTCTGGTTGAAAGGTTGTAGATCGATCAACTGATTTTACCTAAATAGTAAGAAATTGAAATGAGAAAAGAAAATTTTGTAGACAATTACTTCGAGTTTTGCGGTATCGGAAGTTTGTTTTGGACTACGTGATAAATTGACTGGCAGAGCGTTCAAGAGAACGTTATTTCGTTTAATTTTGTGAGGACTTTTGACAAGACGAGACATAATTCCTGTTCGTACTGGACTTCGTTTTGCTGCTGACGAATCATTGAAAGATAGAACTTTACTACCTGATTCATTAGTCGTGATAATTTCGCTCTGACTTGGACTTGACATAGACGATACTGGAAGCCGATGAGAAGGTACATTTTCATTAGAACTGGTATGATTAGAATATGAAGGACTTGACGTATTCTGAAAAACCAACGAAAACATTGAAGAACTAAAAATGAGAAATTTATTTTCGATTACCGATTTTTGATCCATTTGTTGCTGCTGCATGGGTAAAGGAAATCCGCCAGATAACATCGATTGGATATCATGCGCATGTTGTCGTTGTTCGGAGTTTGTAAGAGACGATGCCATTCGTTCACTTGACACTCGAATGAGATTTTCTTGCGAGTGCGTCTGTCGAATTGGCACTGATGGAATTTCATTTATCGTATGATCTGATTGAGTACGGTGATGCGTTTGAATATTAGACATTTCTGATTCGGATCGTGGTGTTACTGGTTGTTGTCGACGGAATCTGGCGATGACTACATTCGAATCTTCTGATTCTCCACTGTCGTTATATGCACGAAGTTTAATTTTATATTCTCCTTCATCACGAATACAATCGATAACTGTTTCGAATTTGCCAGAATCGACGGATCCTTTAAAAACATCATCAATGTATATTCGATAGCCAAGAATAGGACGTTGGTCATTTAAAGGATTCGGTATCCAGTGAAGAAAGAAACTTCTCGTATCACGCTTTGATATGTGTGCACGAAGTGGAGGATGTAGAATGCACGATTTGATATTTAAACGAGATTCTAAATCACGTAATCGTCGACTGAGTGCACGGTTTTCTTCAAGAAGTTTTTCTGTTTCACGTTGATGAGTACTGGTTTGAGTTTCAAACTAAAATATGTATAGAATGTCAACAGATTTTTTTGGAAAAGAAGAGCTCTTGCATACTGTTTTCCAAAGTGCTGCCAATGCTGACGTTTGCAGCTCGGTTGTTTTCGTGAAGCGTTCGTGAAGATTGAGATATCTGAAGAGTATGAAACATTCCCTGTTTTTTATCAAGCCAACAAAATTTCAATGACACTTACGCTTGAAGCACCGATGATCGAACTGACTCGATCGATGTTGTTAGTTTTGTTATTTCAGTTGTATTTGTACGCATTGTTGTCGTATGTTGAGTTGCTGATAATTGATTAATTGGTGCAGACTTTAATTGCACTTGATTTTCATCATCGTCGTCGTCGTCGTTATTGCCTGTAAGTTTTACAATGGAACGTATTGCCATAATTTAACCAATGGGATACTTACGATGTTTGTTGTCATTGGAAATTATCTGTTGTTCATGTTGGGCTCGAAGCGCAGATGGCCGCCGCTGTGGTGGGTCAGCCAAATTGAATGTATCAGAAGCAATAGTGTGACGTTTGGATCGATCTTGTTGATCTGGAATATACAGTACTTTTAATATCTAAAAATAGCTCTCTGAACCGCTATAATTACGTGTGGAAAGATTTTTATTTGCACTTGGACGCATAGGAACTTGCGCTGGCGTTGATACAGCTGGCCCACGATTTGTCGTTCTTGGTGAATATCTATTAGCATTGTATGCTAAGTGACCTGTCGCTCGTTTTGGTTGTTGTGAATTAGTTGCCGTTCGTGTTCGAGATATACTGGTTTCATCACCTGAATGATTGTCAATAGGATATTGATTCAATTTCGACTGAAACATATTTTGATCAAGTGGTTTTATTGGTCGATTGTCGTAATCACTGTAACGGGAGTTGTGCTCATCGTGATGGCTAATCGAGCGAACGTATTTCGGACTCGGCGTTCGCATTTGTTGATCGGAATTGGAAGCATCGGAAGCTGATATTTTTCGTTGATCGTTTTGTTGAATAGGTTCATTGATCGTTGAAACTGATGCCAATGGATTTACTTTTCGAAACTCCGATTCCGATATAAGTAGACTTTGTTGTAACTTCGATTGTTGATCTGAAGATATTCTCCAGTGACATTCGTTTCAATAAATCGAAAAGAGCGTCTTACCTTTTGCTAATGTTTCATTCGCGTCCTTCAGTGTATCCGATGTTTTCGTAGAAACTTCATCGATATCGCTATTATGCCGATATAAATCCTGTTGAAGCATGATTCTTGACAAGTGTAGATCATCTCTCTGCAAAAACATACATCAGTAAATCATTTAGTGACTTCAGCATGAAGAAAAATTACTTCATCGGCATCAGTTCCACAAACTCTGATTAAATATTGAACTAACTCCAAATGATCTCCGGGTCGAAATGACCGTCCTTTGCCTTGACTCAATAACCATTCTGCTTTCAAACTAAATAAACGGTTTGTTATAGAGACTCTTAGTACTCTTGGTCAATTAAAAGTCAACCTTTCTTTTCTAGTGATAAACGTTCCATCAAGATTTTGAACCCCTAAACACCAATTGAGAATAAATGGACGATAATCAAATGGTTGATGACAGCCGTATCGATCATTAGTGACAAATAAACATGGATTATCATGTATATACAATACGTTCAGATCGATGAATTGCGACAGGTAAGATATCTAAGAAAGGATAGAAACAATGAACGTCAACAGTGAACTTATGATGGTCCGTTATTACTTCGCTTAGATCTTTGATTTCATTGTCAGAGATAACAAGCGTATGAATAGATTTTGGCCAATGTCGAGGGGCAGACACTAGTGTATCAACAAAGTTTTGATGTAAATTTAAGTACTAGAACGCAATCATTTTATTACAAACAATTTCAATGAGTTGGTTCGAAATGCGAGACCTTACTTTGAGTTTAGTCAGATACGATAGGTCTTCGATGAGACGAATAGAATTATCACTCACATCCAATGATTGTAATGAATGACAAGCATTTAATACACCTATGCTATGTATATTATTACTAGCGATATTAAGCATGACAAGATTTGGCAAGGATTTCAGCGCTAAACAGAGAAATGATGCTATTTACTGAATGGTAAACATGGGATGTTGACTTACCGTCGATTGAATCAAGAGAATTATTCGATAGATTCAATTTCTGCAGCGTTCGCAAACGGCCAATTAAACGTATATCAATCAACCGATTGTGAGATATAGATAACTAAAATCAGATGGATATTTCTAGTAGACTACTGAATAAAACATCTTTACTTGGACCAGATGTGTGAGAACATCTAAATGTTCGACTTTCGTTATATCATTATTGTCCAGTAGGACAACGTTGAAATTAATATTGTTTGGAAGTTTGTCAATTTTTCGTAAATTTTTGGATGACAGGTCAAGACGCGTCAAATGTTGATCAGATAAGCGATCATCAATGGAAAAATTCAAAGGTTGACAAATTCGATTTGACATAGTTGTTGATCTGGGAGACATAGATTCAGTTGGCCAATGGATAGCTGTTGGTTGTTCTTGCCGTGTTGGCACTGGACGATGCTGAGCGATTTGCATTTGAAATGTTTTAAAATTGAAAAAAATCACGAGAATATTCTACATGACGATTGATGCAAGCAGCGTGGGAGTATAAGAATCTGTTTGGCAACGATTGAGTAATTGATTTATTTTCTCTTTAGTCATCTGCATATCTTTTTTTCTTCGTTCTTTTTCTCCTCTTCAAAGTTCAGTTCTTTGTTGTAGCCATTTTTGTAAGAGTTGATAACCATAGCAACGGTGAAATTGTTAATCATAGGACTAGTATATCGTTGATATCAGATGAAAACTTTTAAGGCTTCAATAGAAAACATAATTTCGAATGCACAATCCAGATGAATTCTGAATAATAGATGACAGTCTTTATAATGAGACATCAACAACCGCCATCTGTGGAAGTGATACATATAAGAAGCAATCACTGATACAGTTATGAATGATAAAATAGTTATTTATTAGCGGGGATACCTGCTGAAAATTATGGAACATTTTCACTGTGTTTTGTCCTCATCAAAATTGTATCCTCGTCCAGAAAAACAAAGGGAATGGCATCAGAATGAAACTTTTAAATGTCCATTGGAAGAACGACCGTTTTTTGCAACCAGATTAAATTCTCGTCAATCGAATGATAAAATTCCTTTGATGAAATCCAAAGAAATGTGAGACATACGACAATGAAAATCTCCGATTCAAAAAGGAATTCCATTGAAGATCCTAACTTGAAATATTTTGTAAAATGAACAGATCGTTTTTTTTTAATTTTTATTTGATTGATGAAGAAATAAAGAAAATGAATTGATATAAGAATAGATTTCAAAGGAAAAAAACAACTCATCCATGTATTTTCACAGAGAATAAACATCGAACACAAGTAAACGAACTTCACATTCGATAATATCCAATTGGTTTCTAAAGCAAATCAAGAAAATCTTCTTCTCTACGGATCTTTGAGAGAGGAGTCGGTGAAACTTACGAAATTGCCGAGCATTTTTAAAAGTGAAGTACTCAATTCATTCTTATCGAGATTTTCCTTGAGAGTGTCACCGAAGGTATTACGTAAATACATTAAGATTTCATAGAGTTGTTCTTCTTGTATTCTTAGATGATGAAGCAAACGTATTTTAGTACTTGAAAGATCAACTAATGAAAAGAAAAGAAAATGAATCGATATTTGATTTATGTTTCATCATTTACTTGTCGAAACCAAACAATATTGCGTGAGAAAATAATCAATTCTTCTTGTCGTTGTAATCTGGTGTTCAAGTTGTTCATCGCTATTCAATTCATTGATCGACACTGATGAGCAAGCCTCATAAGCCCCGCTGGAAAATGAGTCATTTTCTAGAAAAATCAAAAAGAATGATACTATCTATTATCTAAAGTGAGTGTGTTTACTTCGAGATGAACCAGGCCGATGTTTGATCTAAATAAAAGTGAGCATTGCAATGGATTCTATGAAGGAAAAACTAACCGTTCGTCCGTGACAAAATCGTATTCGTTTCGTTGGATATTCAGTGAGATCTGATGAAGATGACAAACTGATCTTATCATCTAGACAGTAAATTGTATGATAAATTTGATTTACTAGTTAATTGTTTATGTTTTTCATAAATAGCAAGTTGTCTCATTTGATCAACGAAACGTTGAATATTCTGTTGAATTATAGGTCGAATCTTTTTCGTTCCATCTTTGAACAAATAATCTCGACTTTCCTTACTTAAGAATTTTTCATCTTCTTCAATAATTGAAATCAGATCAATATTAATTAAACATTGAGCAGAATCGATATCGAGTTCTTCGAGAAATCGAGACATTTTCTCTCCATATTCTTGTTGAACTAATCGAAGAAATTCTGTACGACCCCACGCAAAATAAATCTTTTTCAGTGAGAGAGACAATCTCTTCATTCTAAAATAGAGTCAACAATTTCAGGAAGATTTCGTCATCGAAATATCAATCAGATCTCAACAAATACATACAAGGTACATTTTGAGATTGATGCCATTTTGTTTATATCAAATGAATTCGTGTTCTTTTTCTTTCGAACGAAAAAGAAATAAAATCTGTTGAACAATATTCTTTAGTTAGATATTTAGCCTTTGTTTTATTCATTTAAGTGAACAGACGGATTAGGTCAAAGAACACTGACTAAGATGAAAATGATGATAGATGACACTAAAAGATGTTTAAAACATAGAAATAAATATCGATCGCCCAATGAATACGTGAAAAATTTGACGCGTATTCAAATTCAAGCAGAATTGTAACGGATGCTGGACGGCACCGGTTGAACTGATCAGTGTGGGGCTAGCACGAACAAACGATATGTTAGATGAAAACTTTTTTTACTAAGTATGTCCCGTCCATGAAAACTACACCATTCGATGCAGAATTTTTTTGTGGACGGGGCATACTTAGTAAAAACGTTTTTAGCTAACACATCGTTTGTTCGCGCGCTAGCTCCTTTGTGCTAGGGCTTTACACTAATGTTTTGAAAACGGCGAAACTCTGTCTACAACGGTATAGAAGTATTATCAATATTGTTGATGCTAACGTTTGAGTTAGCCTGAAAAATTAGCACGTTCAGTCCTCGTTGAGATAAAAATTTGAAAGAACAATCATATAGTATTGTTCAAGTTGGCATTTCGATTTGAAGTTCGATGGCTTTTTTCGAGCGACATCTATAGAATTCCTATTATGATATTTTTTTACAAACGACTAAACTTATTTTTGTTACAGGAGCGTTTTTCTACGAATGGTTGTCCATTTGCTGATTGAGTAATTTTACTCGAATCTTCTGCGTCGATCGACCAATCCAATCCAACTTGACAGAACGCTAACTACTTTCAAAGGTTGTCCGTCATATTCTTGATCATTTCTGTCGTAATAAGAGTTTGTTTATCTGATACTAGTAATTTCATTGTTCTTACATCATTCGAACGGTTTTTATTATTTTCGATTCATTTCATACAACATCACAATGACTGATTATTGGAAATCTGGTGAAAAGCACTTCTGCACATTTTGTAAATGTTGGTTAGCTGGAAACAAAATTAGTATTGATTTACATGAAAGTGGTAATCATCACAAGAGTATGGTTCGAGCGAAAGTCGAACAGTTACGTAAAGCAAATGTTGAAAAAGAACGTGAAAGTAAGAATTTCTCGGAAACATTAGGACAAATGGAACGCGCTGCTAATGCCGCATACACTCGTGATCTGGCTAATAGTGTGATGCCTAAAACAAGTGATGCAGCGTCTGATATCAGTCTTCCATCGAAATTGAAACGACCTGTTGATCAACCTGTGCAAGTGCAAATAAAAAAGCCCAAATTTGTCATTAAAACTCCGACAGCGAAACCTGTCTATGAGCCAATTGTTACACCGTCGGAAAACGAAACGAAAGTACCAAAAAAGGAAGAAATAACGAGTATTTCAGAAGCAAACGAAGAAGCAGCAGTAACAATACGCAAAACTGTTCCCAAAGAGCCAGAAGAAACTGCGACGATTGCCAACGATTCTGAAGGCACTTGGTATGAATCGAAAACTGAGAATCAAGAATCGTTTTATTGGAATGACACAACTGGAGCGTCAACATGGACACCACCCACTGTATATCTCTCAATTGAACAACAACGAGCAAAAGGATTGAAAGTATTATAGTCTAATCTCTTCGAATTTGGCTACTCCATTCATTCACGTTCGTTTAACTTGTTCTTTGTCTTTTCTTTTGATGTATATAAATATTATTGTTAGAGAGATATAGACACGGAATAAAAAGTTGAGAACGAAGTTTTGATCGTCATTGACTTCCATCTCGATGAAGACACACAGCAAGAGTCCTTCTTGATCGAGAAGAGATCTGGCTGAAGATGAAGTGATGAATACAAATGAGCAAGTGTCTACATTAGCGAAGTTTTATCCATCCTTAACTATCAATTTCATGAAACGATCTATTATAATAAACAAGCAAAGTAATAACACAACTCTCATAGAAGTATCAGCAATGTCCTGCTCTTCACCATACAATGAATATTTGAGTTTGATCAGAAACGAAAGCTTCGCTTACGATCTTTAGTCATAGACAAATAGAACATTTCTCTTACCAGGAACAACCCATATGAATTATTCTTCCTATGTCTACCGACATCTATGTTTATTTTACGATTATCTGTTAGAGTCTATTAATTTACCAATGATGTTAGATGTAAATGTGACTCATGTGCATTTTATTTCAATATGTATCTTTATTTAGCTTTGTTCATTTATCTACTTGTCGTCGTGAAGTCACACTCGTCGTCGAAATACAGACGAAAGAGAATATGAATGAAGATTTAAACAAAGTTATACTCGTTTTTGACTAGTACCTCGACAGCATGCACCATTAAGTTTATAGAATTATTTTGTTCTTTTTTTTTCTATTTCATAGACCATGTAAACAAATTGATGGTATTTTCTTCTTATGTTTCAGATAAAGAAAAATCGTCATTCGATTCATTTACTATTAAACAAACACAACCATGTCCAACGACGCTCGTAAGAAAATTTATAAAAATGCAGGACTTGATAGTGATGAAATACGTAAGCGACGTGAAGATCTTAATATAACACTACGAAAGCAAAAACGCGAAGAGCAAGTAAGAAATAAACGAATCGATTATTTTATCTGCTGATTTTCATAGCATTTCAAACGACGAAACTTAGCTAGTAGCGATGAACAAGAGACGCCAGCATCATTTGGTGTGCCTACTGCTGGTACCTCGCCAACAGCACCTACTGAACCAGTAAGAATCACGTTCTCCGTATTTCTTTGAAGATTTATCAAGTTCCTTTGACAGGCTATTACTAGTCAAATGGCAGCTGCATTATATAGTAATGATGCTCAACAGATGCTTGAAACAACGATACGTTTCCGAAAATTACTTTCAAAAGGTTTGATTGAGTTTAATAGTTGATTATAGAATAGACGAATTTATTTGACTTTACTATTAGAACCTAATCCACCTATTGATGAAGTAATTACAGCTGGCATAGTTCCTCGTTTCGTTGAACTGTTACGCTTTCAACACTTTCAAATTCAGGTAGATGACCATAAACTTGTAAACGATCAATTTTGAAGACTTTTCCCTATAGTTTGAAGCAGCATGGGCTTTAACAAATATTGCATCGGGCAATTCAAGTCAAACAAAATATGTTATTGATGCTGGTGCTGTACCTATTTTTGTTCAGCTATTGAGCAGTGCAAATGAAGATGTTCAGGAACAGGTAATCAAAGTCAAGCTCTTTCTCTTTTTCACTTTGAAATACATTTTTTTGTAGGCTGTTTGGGCTCTTGGTAACATTGCTGGTGACAGTCCTGAGTGTCGTGACTACGTTCTCGATACTGGTATCCTTCAACCGTTGTTGAAGTAAGTATATTTTTATTCACCTCACAATTGCTCCATCGTTCTCTTTTCTTTCTCCGTAGCATTTTTACTCGCAATACTCGTTTGACGATGGTACGTAATGCTGTCTGGTGTTTATCGAATTTATGTCGTGGCAAGAATCCAACAGTTGAGTTCAATAAGGTAAATACAAATACTGAAAACATGACTCTATTTTCGTGCTGTACTTAGGTTGCGCCAGCGTTGCCAGTACTTAATCAACTTCTACATAATATGGATGCTGACGTCTTGGCTGATACTTGTTGGGCTATTTCATATTTATCTGATGGACCCAATGAAAAAATTCAGGCTGTCATTCAGATTGTTGACGTTCGACGACTCGTGGAATTATTAGCGTAAATATTCTCTTTCTTTATTAACATAGAGTAAACGATCTTATGTTTGCTTTGTCATTATTAGGCATCCGGTTTTAAATGTTCAATCATCAGCCTTACGAGCGGTCGGCAATATTGTTACTGGTGACGATCATCAAACTCAAGTAAGCAAACGAGTCTTACAAAATAGTTCCCAACTAATCTACTGTACTCTGATAGGCCATACTTGATGCTGGTGTTCTTCCTCACCTTTTAACGTTACTGCAAAGTCAAAAAGAATCTATAAAAAAGGAAGCATGCTGGACATTATCCAATATCACAGCTGGTGTCCAAGCTCAAATTCAGGTAACAAATTGTTTGTATTGATCTGATAAAATATTGTGTATCATTCTTTTCTAGGCTGTTATCGATGCCAATATAATTCCATCGTTACTTAACATTCTCAAACATGGTGACCATAAAACACGAAAAGAAGCTGCTTGGGCCGTTACCAATGCAACATCTGGTGGCACACCCCAACAAATCAAGTAAATAGATTTCTATTGCAGACCATCATTTTTCTTTTCGATTTTCTTAGATATATTATCGATCAAGGTGTCATTCCTCCCTTGTGTGAATTATTAAGTGTTGCCGACGCGAAAATAATCCAAGTTGCTCTAAATGGTCTCGATAATATTCTTAAATTAGGTGTTAACGAAGCTAAACAAACGAATGGTCCAAATCCGTATACAATTATGATCGAAGAATGTTACGGTTTAGATAAAATCGAATATCTCCAAAGTCATGAAAACATTGAAATCTATCAAAAAGCTTTCCACCTAATTGAAACATACTTCGGCGTTGACGAAGACGAGAACGTTCCTGCCGTAAGACGAAATATTCACTGTTGTCATAGTTCTTACTTTCTGCTTGTTCTTTTCTAGCAAGGAGAATCGCGTCCGTTTGAGTTTGGTACATCAGCTGCATCGACGGCAATGAATGGACAAACGAATGCCACTAACCCACAAGGTCAATTCCAATTTTAAATTCTGTTGAATGGTGAAGAAAAAGCAGACCAAACAAATTCGTTGGACATACTCTATTTTTTTTAAGCTTGAAAAACTTCTTCCTTTTCTTCTTCTTTCTCAGTATCTTGTCATCACAAACAGGAAAAACTAACAGTAATCGCACTTTTCCTACATGAAATTTTCTCTTTCTTTTTCTTCTATTGCCGGTGATGCATGTTTATTTTTTCCTTCGTTTCGGATTCCAACAAGAAATGACTAACGACGGTGGTGATGATGATGATAACGATGACAAGTATATAAATACAATTTCTTTTCTCTGCCTTTTTCTTCAAATCATGTACGAAATCAGAAAAACAGAAAGAAAATCATATGCGTTTAAATGTTCTTGTAATAAACACACACACACACATGGGAGAAAACGATATTTCATTTTTACTTTACAACTACTTTTGTGAAAAAAGTCGAAGAATACTTGTTATCAGATAAATAGAAGAAAAGAAAACAATCTTATACTTCTAGATTTTGATAGTCAAAGAAACAGAACTACTGCTATATACAGACAGCATGTGTCGTCCAAAAAAGCAAGTATGTAGCAGATTGAAGTATATCATAGAGATCTTTTTTTTACCGAGAGATACAAGTTGGTTCATTGAATTCAAGTATTCGATCTTTGTATTGATTGTTTCAGGATTTGGAAGAGGAATCAGTTTGTGAAAGATCGTATCAGGAACCACAAGAGAATGCTCTGCATGCGATGATACTTCAACAACAAATCGAGCTCGAACAGTTGCTTCAAACAGTGGAGAATCTCAAGAATGATATTATTCAGTTACATGATCAAGAGCAAAAATTGATTCAACGGTTAACTCTAATGAAACAGTCTCAAAGTTCAATACTATGTGATATCTATTCATTTGTGTCCAATAAAAAGGTTCTTGTTTTTGGTATGAATGATTAACGGTTGATTTCGTCGAACAATGCTCTCTCTTTTCTATTATAGTCTCTGGTTTTCTCACAGGCTTCTGTATTATTCCCACGATTAGTAGAATGTTTTCTTCAGCACGTGTTTTGCTATGATAATAATTATGTAGATTTTTTGATAACTTGGTCTTTCTTGTAAATCAATTTCAGATGGATCTTAGTTCTGATGATAATCATGAGCTCTTACAAACTGCACTCGATTATACTCAGGTGAGATAGTGTGAATGATATTCATCATGTTTCGATTTACTGTATAGGTTGAGCCCATCAATCAACGACGTCAAACCGAACATATTAATCAATTCTTGCTTAATACAGTTCATTTTTTTAATACATTCAGTGCACAAGTAGAAAATAAATTCCAAAAACTAGAAACCAATCTTCAGCGCATTGAAGCCGATTTTGCAATACTTGATTCTAAAGTAAGAATCAGTTTTTCAATGAACTACCCATACCTTCCATTGTTTAGCTTCGTTCCACTCCAGGTTATCAGACACTTGATCTTCCGATTGTCTCAAGTCCAGTGAGTTCAGCAGCTGCCGTTGCAGAACCTACAACTTCGTCAGTGAATACTAGTACAGCATCTATCCCACCCCCGCCTCCTCCTCCTCCTCCTGTCCCGCCACCGGGTGGCGGAATTCCAGTTCCACCTCCTCCTCCTCCTCCCCCGCCGCCTGCTGAGCCTGCGAAAGTCGAAGATCCCCGGACTGAAAAGTATCGCAAAATGTTGACTATGGTATGATCATGTCTTCAAGTTAATCTCATTGCTCTATCTTCCTACTTCTTAGGGTGTACGACGAGAGGCTGTTCGACACAAGATGGTCATCGACGGCTTAGATCAAGAAATGATCGAGTATGGTTATACAAGCTTTGCGTTTTTCTTTACTGAACTCTTTTTCATCTAGATCCGTGATTGGTACAGATTAAACAGTTGCAATGATTCCTCCGTCTTTATTTATGTTCATTTTTGTTCTTTTTTTGTGTATCGATTTCAAAATGGAGTTTATCGAATTCGTATCTTTTTCTACATGATTGAATCTAAATACGTACTTCAGATAGATATGAATACACATCACCAACATGCAATGATCTATTCTTCTACGCCGCAACTAAGTGGCATACTGTTGAATGCACCTCATTTGAAAACCGATCGGAATGATTTTGTCTCATCACTTGTTCATACACTCGTTCAATCGGATCCGATAAAGCAAACATCTCTAATTGAATCTCTTCGACATCAGCAACAGATCATTGGCACTAATTCCAAAAATATCCATCAGTTCTCTCGACAGAAGCGGAAACATCTCTCTCGTCAAGGCAATAAAGTCCTATCGAAAACGATCAAAAAAGCTCGACATGATGCTCGACAAATGCGCATAGATCAACTGCCAATTGATTATAATAATTACGTGTTCATGAACCATCTTTGGAAACAGTACATAGCAGAATTACTGAAAGATGCTACGAACAATGACTTTATACTACAGCGAATCGTTACTGCCGATTACCATGGATGTAAAATACGAGTTGTGGAAGCAAAAAATCAAACACTAGTCGGTAAAGAAGGAATTGTGATTCAAGAAACAAAGAACATCTTTGTTATTGTGGAAAAAACAAAAAATCGTCGATGTTCAATTTTGAAGAAAGACTGTCTCTTTTCAATAACTATTCCAATCAAAGACAAAGAGCAAACCGTATTCGTCTCAGGTGCAGCTATCGCTGTTCGGCCCGAACAACGTGGACAAAAACGTTCGACAAGCATCGAATATATGCATAAATTCTGTTAAGTTTTGATTTTGTAAAAACAATAAAAAAAAAGTACGAGTATCAGTAATCGGATTTCTTCAGATCGAATCTAGAAAAATAAAGTATCCAGTTTTACGCACATGCAAAATAATCTGTATTCAAGCAAGAAATGTTCTTCTTCAGAGATCCATATCCTTAACAGTCATCCGAATGATATGCGATTTCCTGATCATCTTCTCTTATTTCAGATGCCGTACTCTACCAATGTCAAACTACCACGTTTCATGATGCACTTTTCCTATGCTGGCCAAACCTATGCCGGTGTTCAATGGAATCCAAGCGCTAAAATTGACAGTGTACAAAGTGTTATCGAACGTGCCCTTCACCATTTTCAATCCGAAAAAACTCCTCTTCGATTCGGTGTTTCATCTCGAACTGATCGCGGAGTACATGCCTTACATAATACGGCGACATTCGATTGGATTTCGCCCGTTGATATTACAACACTTGTTCAACCATTAAATACTTATTTAACAGATAAAAAGGAACACGTACGCGTTCTGCGTATTCATCCTATTTCGCCTCAATTTCATTTTCGTCGTCATTGCCATGGCCGAAAATATGTGTATCGTTTAGGTTTTCTCAATGAACATGAATTTACACATGTCAATACTACGATTCCATTTTTGAAGAAAAGACACCGCTATCTTCTTCGTGATATGACACCAGCCACTTACAATCTTTTCGAAAAGGATCATATCACTTACATCGAACCACCCTATGATTTGGAAGCCTTTCGAAAAGGCATAGAAGTCTTTCAAGTGAGTAAAGCTTGTACATCATGACCTAAAAAAGAACACTCTCTCGGTATTTTTAATATCAGGGCCAACACAACTTTGCGGCATTTACCACGACACAAGGTCGTTTGAATATGTTAGTCGAACGTCGTTGTCCGGTGAAAACCATGCGCCTTACATTAACCGAAGGTGAACGCTTAGTGCCATTACCTGAACCATCATCACGTCATTCTCCCATGACTGTTTATAATCTTGTTTTTGAAGCCGAAGCATTCCTTTATAAGTTAATTCGACGAATTACTGGTACACTAGTACACATTGCCAAAGGTGAAATGACTATTCAAGATGTTACTGATCGATTCGCTTGTCCGCCCGATTATTACGACAGTAATTTTCCGAAAACGCTCAAACCTCATGGTCTATTCTTGTACGAAGTTAAATATAATGAACAAGATTTTCTCAATCCACCGGAGCTTAGATGTGACGACACGGCAGCCGATGATGTTGATACTGTTGCTATGGAAGTACAAGAAGATGCAGAGAATGATGACGATGAAAACGAAAATGAAGACGATCAACAATTGAATAGGAAAATAATGATGTCGCGATAGTTAGTTTTCACATGGAATAAATGACATCTCTCAATCGTATGTCGATTGAATTAAGATAGTAATGTATGCAAACTAGTATTCGTTTGCCACCTTTATTCAGAATTTTCAATTTTTGCTTGACAAACACAGATAGAAGAGAAGAAAAAGATAGCCAGGGCAAGAACAACAAAAAATAAAGAATGATAATCAGATCATTTCGAATACAGACAGAAGTAGAACAAAGAGAAAAAAAAACACAATATGAACACCAGGAGAAAAAATATTTGAATAAAATAATCATCCAACATATGAATTGAACTAATTATTTGTTTAATAGGTTTGATTTATTAAATGACTCATTGTAGATTAGTGAAAGAGAAGAAAGTAGGGAAAAAATGAACTAAGACACAGGCTAATATACGCATGAGAAATTATCTAATAAAAAAAAGAAAATTAGCGTAAGAGTTGAACATACACCGAGCAATCTCAAATGATTTTTGTTATCAATGATCTTCGTGATACGAGAGACAAGAAAGAGAAAAAAAAAGTAAAAAAATAAAATATAAGAGAACACATACACACAGCCATTGATCTACATGTACGATGACGACGACTAGAAAAATGAAATTCAAAATGAAACATACATACATACAGATAAACATAAATATATGTATTCATTTGCGAAGAATTAAAATCCATTTGCACCAAGAACAGAGCCAACTGTGTGGGCCTGCATTTGTGGGTGAAAGACAGGCTGTGAGGATTTCGAATGACGCGTAACAGCCTTGTGTGACGCCATGCTACCGATATGAATCTTTTGCCAACATCGTTGACAAAAATAATCGAAACAAGCAAAATTACGGCAGAATAAATCACCAGCAGATATTTTGCATAGGGAACAAAAGCGATATTGTAGGTGTGGTTCGATTTGAAGACGTTTCAGAAAACGAGGTGTTCGGACATCAACTAGAATCAACGATTAAACGACATTATGTGACACATTGACGAACATTTTACACGTACCAAATGCTGTAGAAACTGCATGAAGAAAACTGGAACTATTATCGAATGTCACTCGACCACTTCCGATTCTAGAAGGAAGACCGGACAACAATTTTCCCATGAAGATAATATATCATCACTTACGGATATTTGTATTTATCAATATCAACACCAGCGTAGACAACACCACTGAATAAATCTTCCATCAATCGCCATAAATATCTTGCCGTCATGGTACCATGAAGATTTCCTACAAAAATTGTTTTCTTCGAATCAAGTTGTTGAGGTGGTCTAAAACAATTATTTCACACGTCAAACTTCAACAGCAGTCAAATCATCAACTGACCGTAATGCATAATTGTTATCACCAATATTCCACGGGATGACTTCAACAGTTTTTCTCGAGCCAGTTGCCGTTTCAAAATGAATGAAATAGTCTGCACATGCATTGTTATTCGTTTGCCGTGAACAGTTGTCTAATAGTGAACAGACTGATTTGGCATTGTGAAAGACGATATGAAAAAATCCATTTTCACGGTGTAATTCTTTGTGTGCGCCATGCAATTTTGGCCATTGGATTTCAAAGACGCCAAAACGATCGAAGTTAGCATGAATATCGGCTTCAGTTGCAAAACGTGGTACACCACCGATGAAGACCTTTTGCGAGAGCAAAGGGATTTGTTGAATGCCATTCGTATCAGTTGAATTTTCGGTAGCGAAATCACCAATCCAATGGCGAATGTTTTCTGTCGTATTATCACGCATGGGTAGAGCTGATTGTGGTTGAGACGCTGCTGTTAACGAAAGCAACCAGGGTGGTCGAGCATTTTCGTCATTCACGTTTGATTGAACATTGGAACTGAATGGTAAAGCTTCGTTTTTAAATGAAAATGGTTGTGAGGGTGATGTACGAGGATTGATATCATTTAAAACAAGTTGTTGAAATGGCAACACACATGATTGTTCAAGTGACATGATGTTCGATGTATTACGGAGAATGAAGTCTTGAAAAGGTTTTGGTTCTGGATCAAACAGGTTTTCGCCTAGAAGAATATCATTATTACTATACGCTTCACACGAAACTGTACTTGATGAACATACTTGATAATGTTGAAGTTAGTCCATTGCCAATTGTTGTCGACGCTGTTGGCCATGTTGGAATAAATTCTTTCGTATTGTTCTTCATTGGAAACGAGAAGTCGTTACGTGGACAACAATTGACATCCATAGTATGGAATATTCGCAGCAATATACACTATGTTTTATGAAAGAAGAAAATCTTGTCTTATGTGTATGTTTGTTTTGTAGTGAATGACTGAATTCGTCAGCTAACTTTTACATGTATATTGTTCTTATCCGACCGACGAATAAGAAGAAAGAAGAGAAAAACAAGTATTTAGTAAAATAACAATCGTCCGATATGAACAGACGAAAAGTGACGAACTAGATCTTGGAAAAGAGAGAAACGGAGTGAAGAGAGAGGGAGAGAGAAGGCGGAAAGATAGTGTGTCTGTGCGTGTCCGAGGTCATTGATCAGTCATGCGATAGGTTTTTTTTATTGAACAGACGTTCATTGATATCCTGCGTGTGCGACATGTACAAAGAAGTGTATATTGGATTGAATGGATGCAATGAGAGAACGAACGAATAAATGAATGAACGAAAAAAAAGGATGGTGATCACACCGCAGGATAATGTATACATATGAGCCTCGAAATGTGTGAAATAACACGGCAAGCCAATTGAGATTGTCATGTTATTATAGGAGGCCAGATGCTTGTCGTTTACGATATGCCACTTCTCACATTAGCACTGAATTTGTTTGTGTACATATAATAGAAGTGATATCGATGAGAACGATAAACACGAAATAATTAAAATAGAATATACATTTCAAAATTCTCAGTGTTGTACTTCACAATCTTGTAGTTCTTTTTTGCAAAGGATAGGTCAGTTGTTATCTAATCTGGAGGAATCATTGTTTTTAACAGATCTCTTCTTGCACATATGTTATCTTTAAGCACTGTAAATGAACATGAAAAAGATACGAATGAATACGTGTCAGCATGCAAAAAACATCTGCGAATGTTTAGCAACATCAGAAATAAAACAAGAAGAAAGGGAATTGTTTTCAATATTGTTTACACATTTCTAATAATATTATCGGATAAGATGAAAGATACAACATGATCAGTTTCCAAGTGACACAAATTTTGTTTGATTCTGTTAGTGAGCGTGTTTTAGACTTTAAGATTGATCTTGTCAGAGATAATTCTTGGAAATTTTGAGATACAGCTGATTTGCACGTTGTTACATAGATGTCATCATTAAGACTCGCTTCCCTATGGTGAAAGAAACTCATCGTTACTAACGAAGAATAGAAAAATCTTTTTTTTTATATAAAAACATATGCATGATGTTCGTTAGATGTTTCGCCTACCAAGTTATAATGACACAGAGAGAAAGAAAAAGAAAAATTCTGTTTATTTCAGCATGTTCTCACCAGTTTTACAGTATAGGATTGCTTGGCAATTATGACAAGGTGAAAAACATTCTTTATCGAATGGAAAGAAATACAGGTAGTATTTATTTCGAGCTCTAATCCAGTTGATCAAAATAGCCTATTTCAATAAAGGGATTTGTATCTAAAAGTTTAGTTTTTAGATAGATTTGATCCGATTTCAACCAAAATGAGCACTCTTCAGTTTGTTAGCAGCCAGACTGGTGAGAACCTCTCCCAAGTACCGAACAAAGAGATTCGACAATCTCTGTGCAAAATCAATGATTTACAGAATGGACAAATGAAAGAACTTGAAGTGAAAACAGATGGTGTCAATACGAGTGTCTTGTTAATTAAGCAAAATAATAAATTCTATGCTTATTCAAGTAAATGCTGTCATTATAAGCTTCCGTTAGCAAAAGGTTTGCTTTGAAATTCGATTCTTCGTATATATTAATATTTTCGATCTATCAGGAGTTCTAATCAATAATCGTCTGCGTTGTTTTGCACATGGCGCTTGCTTTCGTGTGGATACCGGCGATATTGAAGATCATCCTGGTCATGGCAATTTACCGAGTATGTTCGACAATTAACACGGATTTTCGTTGGAGTTCTTCGATTGGTGAATGTTTCTAGAATACGATGTTGAAGTTATTGGTGATGACGTGATTTTAGTTGCCTATAAAGAGGATTTGGAAAAATTAGAGCGTATCAAAATACCAGAGAATCTTGAAATTGAACCCGAACCAGTCGTAGCTATTATTGGTGCTGGTGCAGGTAAATAGATTTTCACGTAAAAAAAATTTGATTCTACATCTTATCGTATACATGTAATCATCTCATTTAAGGTGGATTTACATGCGCTGACATGCTGCGTCAAAATGGATTTTATGGCCGTATTATATTATTTACCCGAGAAGGTACATTGCCGTACGATCGTGTACGTATTATTCCGTTTAAGCGATGATTGATTATGTTCTTCGATGACGTATTAGGTACAATTGTCGAAGCAGCCGTCGAAAAAACCCCAAGATCTACTTCTACGCGATCAAACATATTATAAGAAAGTTAAAATAGATCTATTAACCGAAGCCGAAGTAACCACCATCAATTGGACAACGAAGGTCATCACGTATAGAATCATCGGCAACCAATTGAAATCTATTAAGTATGATTACCTGGTGTTAGCAACAGGCTTACGCCCGAAAAAATTACCGTCCTCATTATTGGGACATGATCTTCGTAATATCTTTTATTTACGATCAGTCGATGATGCAAGTAACCTCATTAGTAAGTTCTATTGCTCAACAATGACAATGATAAGAGAACTGGTTGAGTTTTTGTGTAGATAAAGTAAAATCACCCGATGTCAATAATATCGTGATTATTGGAGATTCGTTTATCGCTTTGGAAATATGTGGATGGTTGACGACTGGTTTGGAAGAGAAGAAGAATGTGTCAGTTGTCATGCGTTCAAAAGTACCGATGATTCGTATCCTTGGAGAGACGGTCGGTAAAGCTTTACAGAAAGTTCATGAGAAGAATGGAGCCAAATTCTTTTCCAGTGCAACTGTGACGGAAATAACAGTTCAGTTTGCCATTTGCTTCAAGAAAAGAAACATCTACCTTTCGTACTACTTTAGGGACATCATAACGTTGTTAAATTTGTTCAAATAGGCACAGGCCAGTCTCTTCCATGTGATTTACTTATCTGCGCGATTGGCAGTGAATTATGTACAGAGCTATATGAAAATTCATCGATCGAAATGACTGACGACGGCTTTATTAAAGTTAATCAACGTTTAGAAACATCCATCGAACACGTTTTAGCCGTTGGAGATATATGTAAATATCCGTTGAAAGTATTTGATTTGGAGGATATAAATTGTCAACATTGGCAAATGGCTTGTTCAACAGGACATCAGGCTGGTAAGAACTCGAACTGAATGACGAATAAGGAAAAGATTGCGAGAGACAATTTGTTCCGATTTGGAAAAGAAAAGAAAAACACATGTCTATTTCCTGATCTATTTTTTAAATAGTAGAATTAATGTAGTAATTTCCTTGAATTTCGATAGACTTGAGAAATTCATAGTACGAGCATGTTCTTCTCTATTCAGCTGACACCATTTTACGTTATTATCTTGGTCAAACAAAAGGTGGTGGTTCACGTTCGTTGAAAACAGATTTTTATACGACGCCAATCTTTTGGACAACTCAAAATAACAAGACCACCATTCGATACGCTGGCTATTGCCACAAACCTGAAAATATCATCGTTCATGGTGATCTCGACGGCGAGTTTAAATTTGTAGCTTATTACATCGTCGAAGGGTTTGTTCGAGCCGTAGCTCAATCAAAATATGATCCATTGTCCAGCGAAGTTGCTGAAGTATTTCATCATCGACGAAATATTCGACAAGAAGATATTGAACATGATATGTATGGTTATCGCAAATACTTAGATTTCAAAACAAAGAAACCGGAATGAGTTTTCAGAATTTTAAACCATTTATATGATTTATTCTTCTTTATTATATTAATAAATAGCTTTTATCAACTAATCGAAAAGCGATGATTTCAAGTTTCGTTTGTCGAAGTGCGATAAAGCAACGAAAATCTCTTTGCAAATAAAGGCTTTTCCTTGAAAGTAAAGTAAGAAGTAAATAGAATTAAGATAACGTCTGATTGAAGAGAAAATATTCTCATCAATCTTCGAATGCTCGGCATGGCTGTCGTAGTATGTAGATAATCAAGTAACGTCTTCTTTCAAGCACATAGATGCGCAAAGGAAAAAAAAACAACAAAAGGGTTACAAGCACATACAATCGACTAGTTATCATACGTGAAATACGAAATGCGAGAGGTTGTAGAGATAACAGTAGTATAAGGACATTTTTCACTCTACACATAAGTCATCCTTTTCTAGTACTACGCGTTGTTTTGTTATTCTTGTTGTAACCCATCTTAGTATCTGGTTACGTGCTGATCGAAGAAAAACAAAATCGTTGAGACAGATATGCGTTCTCAATTATTTATTCTTGTCTAATTGAGTTGACTATCGACAAGCGACATCTATCGCGGAGAATTTAGTATCGTCCAGAGAGTGCCTATAACTATTAATTTATCAAACGAAAATTTTTTTCTTGGTTCTTTTTTAGAGAAAATTCTCAAAATTTCAGTTGAAAGCTTTGTAACAATCGTATGGCGGTCTCACACACAAAGAACATAGGAGAACTGAATTCGTAATGGTTCGATTTCTGTGTTGATTGTTTACAACTTTTTTGGTCATTGTTTATCGATCTTCATTCGTGTGTATTTTCGCAGAGGCAAATCGTCGCGCGTCGTCGCCGTCGTCGCCCCCCGTTCTCTGCTGTTCATAGTGTACATAGGCCTTGTCTATCTTCTCCCTTTCCGTGTGTATTCTTCTTTTGACGTTGCATACCTGTGTACCTATGTAAAAAGAAAACAAGAATAACAAGCACTGTATACCGGCTGATTAATTATTTTGTTTTTTTTTGCTACTTCATTATTTGTTCTCTGTACAAAAACTGTAAGTTACGTCAAATTTTACTCTCGAGATGAAAAACGACCTGATACTATTCCTATATTTATAGTTAACCTATGTGGTCTGCACAAGGTGGTACTGATTATTCAACTAATGGTAATTATATGCATATATATCTATATCGAACAACGTGTCATAGAAAATCTATTGTATCTATTTAGAACGATCAGCACCGATCAATATGCCAAATAGACAATCTGACATAGCATCGGGTTATGCTGATCCACACGGCGTTGTTTTTTCGCCTAAATCAACAGATCCATCAAATCTGGGAATAAATATGTGTATTAATATCTTAGAAGGTGATAACTCCCCACGTGTAAAAGACGATGGAATTAAAGATGTTACTCAACATATGCAAAACATGAAGATTTATGTAAGTGAGAGAAAAACTGATCCGAAATAGTTTAACGGGTAGATGTTCGATTCTCTTGGGTTCGATCCTACTTTCTATCAATGGCTATCGTCAGGCGTTACCATTGTTTATACTTTCAATCCGAACAGTGGTGTTATCGATCAGCCTAGATTAAAACTAAAAATAGTTGATTCTTTTCGGTCTATGTTCTATTGAATATGTATATCATTTCGGCTATTTTAACACATCCAATAATGTTCTTTTTTGTTTCCCATTTAGACTGACAATGATAATGCGAAGAAAGCTGTGGATAGTCCAACTGGTTATGATGGTAAATCTGATGACACGATTAGTGAAATCGAACTCAATCGTAAACAATCGCCTCGTCCATCGCCTGCTCACGCGGCAAAAGATCTGTCAAACGGTACTAATAATGAAAATCTTCCCCCATCAAACACCATTGGTCCCGGTGATGATATACATGATAGTAGAATATCGGAATCACATTTAATGATGAATGGTATGTCAACAGCATCACTACCTATACCATTCCAACGTATGCAAACTGATAATCAACATCAACAACAACAGCAGCAGCAACAACAACAGTTATTGCTCTATCAACAACAGCAACAACAAGCGTAAGTATACAGTGGAAAATAGTTGCGAAATTGTATTGATTTTTATTCATGATTTAGTTTTCAAGCACAATATCAAATGCTTCAACAACAACAACAACAGGCAGTTAATTATGATATGAACGCACCATCTTCGAATTTTCAAACGTTTGATTACACATTAATTCAACCCCAATCGTAAGTAGAACTATGGCTTGGTCGTTTTCACTGAAAAAAACAACTCTCACTGTTTGTTTTCTTCAGATACGAAAGTCAATCAATAATGACAGCTTTCAATCCACAATCTAATAGTTCGAATCAACAAGACCATCAATTAGCTGGTTTAGGACAGCCTCCACTCATGTCATGGCTTCCAAATGCTATGGCTGCTCAACAACAAACAGGTAATCAACATTCACCATATGGCTCATCATCCAATCAATATATGATCAATGGGAATCAAGATAATTATTTACAGCAATTAACAAGCTTTCATCAATCACCAGCTTCGCTTCCATCTCTACTCGGTCAACCACCATATTGGTCAGCGTTACCTCCACCGGTAGTTTTTCCAGCACCACCTCCACAAGCTATGTTAGCACAACAGCAAACATCAAGCAATGAACAACATTCACCGCAATCAAAAACCAATTCGAATCGTCCGTTAACACCAACCAATTCAACGGATATATTGAGCACGTCACAACCAAATCAACAACCTCAACAATTCATGAATATGCAACGTACAACACAGACACCAGGTAAAGCCGATCGACGATTTTTGATAGGACAAAAAGTATAATTGTCATTCATTCTCGAAATTCTAGTGAACTTCTCATACTTTGCTGCATCACCGACCTTTCTTGATCCGAGTATCATGATGTCCAACACTCGTCCACCGAACGGATCACCAGGACTTCGAATGTACCCTACACAGATGCCAATACCAGGTAAATCATTGTCATACGAAATCAAAATGTTTCGATTCTTCCATTGTTTGTATCCATTTCAGTTAATACAAACACTCAACCTGGTATCTATGGTAGCCCAGTAGCAAGTTCACTTTCAAGTTCATTTAATGGTATGTTCTCTGAATTCAATTTGTATGTACATACATCAAAGCCATTCATTTTCTTCATGCAGATGCCTATCCCGTACCCAATCAACGGCGTGATGCACCATTACAAGACTTCTCTCGTCTTCCTGCAGATCCACGTCTGACAAAACCAATTCAGCAACCACAACAAACACAATTATTTCACGGTCAATTACCCGGTGGTCTACCCCCGTCACCTGCTTACAATACTTTGATGACTTCAATGACGCCACCACCGACTTCAAATACCACGGGATTCGATGGACTCTTTAATCCACGTTTTTATACTCCTCAAGCTCAACAAGGACCACCAGGAGGGCCGTTACAGCAGCCAATGTTAAATGGCAACGATGCTTATTCTGGACGTCGCAGCGTCGGTGGAATGAATGCACCTATGCCGAACTTCTACGCACCTAATGTCTTTGGTGGACCAGGAAATAATAACACACGTGGAAATACAGCAAATACCAATTCAGGACGTGATTCCGTTGTGACACGAAGCAAACTACTAGATGATTTTCGTAATAGTCGAATGCCCAATTTACAATTACGTGATGTTATTGGATATTTTGCGGAGTTTTCTATGGATCAACATGGTTCGAGATTTATTCAACAGAAACTTGAACGTGCAACCAACGCGGAGAAAGACATGGTTTTCAAAGAGATTCTTTCCAATGCTCCACAATTGATGACCGATGTTTTCGGTAATTATGTCATTCAAAAGTTTTTCGAATTTGGTTCGCCTGAACATAAAGCTATGTTAGCACAACGTGTACGTGGCAACGTATTAACGCTTGCATTACAAATGTACGGTTGTCGCGTCATTCAAAAAGCTGTTGAAACTTTACAACCTGATTATCAGGTTCTAATAGCCAGAGAATTAGACGGAAACATTGTTAAATGTATCGAAGATCAAAATGGCAATCATGTTATACAGAAATGTATTGAATGTTGTACTGGAGACGATATTGATTTTATCATTCGTGATGTGACAAAGCAAGTTTTTCAATTATCGGCACATCCATACGGATGTCGCGTTATACAACGTATACTTGAAAATTGTAAAGAAGTGCAAACAAGACCTATCCTCGATATTTTATACAGTGAATTAGAAAATCTTGTACAAGATCAGTACGGTACGTAGAAAAAAATGTTTGAGAAAGACAGCAAATGACGAATGAGCGTTTCCTTTCATCTAGGAAATTATGTTATTCAACATGTATTAGAACATGGTAAATCAGAAGATCGAAGTCGAATCGTGAATGCAATCATGGGACGAGTTCTTCACCTATCGCAACACAAATTTGCCAGGTAAACTATTCGACATGCAAGCAAGACGATCCTAGAATCTATCTCTAACTATTTAGTAATGTGGTTGAAAAGTGTGTCACATACGCAACTCGAGAAGAAAAACGGCAACTCATCGACGAAGTCGTTTCATTCGGTGATGGGTAAGAAAGCGTTCTCCCGATATACGTAATACAACATGTTCGTCTATTTCAGACCTAATAGTGCACTATTAACCATGATGAAAGATCAATTTGCAAACTATGTCGTACAAAAGGTAATTTACTAAAAAATAATATTCCGATCTTGGCAACTAAAATCTAAACAGATAGTATGAATTCTCGTACTATTGATTGCAATCTAGCGAGCGCCTATAACTTCATATGCTGAGTAAAGATCGGTGCATGTTTCGTAATCAGTCCGATAATCTTGATTGGCCAATTTACTAGTAACAAAAGCATTGTGCGCATGAATACAAGGTGCGCATTTGTCGTCACAATTGTCAGAGGAATTCAAATCTTTGTCATAATCTCACGGGTGCTTTTATATTTATGAACGAAGAATATTTCATGAGAAATATGAATTCTTGAGCTCAAAAGGGAAATCTTCTCTTCTAACATCGATCGAATTCCTTCGAGCGATGTTTAAGTATCCGATTTCTACATGTATAATCTTATTCAACAGTGTAGATGAGTTGTACAGAACGATTTGAAAACGATCTATTCATTTTTCGGGCGAAGTTTCGAGTAGCTCGATGTTTTTCACCAAAATAATTAGACATTTGAAGAGCTCTTAGTCGCGATTTTTTTTCTTTTCTTGTCAAATATTAATTGAGCAACACAAAGAAAGTCATTTACACTTCAACACGTTATTTATTATTGACTAAATTTATTAATTTTCCTTACAGATGATCGATGTCGCTGAACCAGCTCAAAGAAAAGTTCTATTACAAAAAGTTCGTCCACATATTCAATCCCTGCGTAAATTTACCTACGGAAAGCATATTATAACCAAATTAGAGAAACATTTAAGCAAAAGTTCGGACTTGGGAGGTCCGTTGTCATCCACAAATTCAAATGGTTTGTCGCATTATGACAACTAATGTTTAGTTTACGTTTTTTTTTCTTTTCATATTCTCTACTATCACTATTATTCTGTAGTTAGTTGTTTCTTTTGTTTGTTTGTTTGTTTGCTTTTTTTATTGTGTGACAGTGGGCGCTATCATATTCTGTTTTCTTTGTTTGCTGTATATAAACGGCTCAGGCAATGTTGATGTTCCTTTGGGTTTTGCCCGGCAACACTGTTTTTTCTGCTTTTTTCTCTTCGTTTTTTTTTTGAAACTTGTCTTTGTCTTCTATACAGCGGTTTGATTAGTTGTTTTGCTCAAAAAACAAAAAATTCTTCTGTACAGCTTTTTTGTCTATCACATGTAATTGCTTCATATACATAATATATAAATGTGTATGTCTGTGTGCGTACGTCATATATTGTAAAGGTTTTGTTTTTACACACACCCTCTCGATGAGAGAAATAATATACTCGGATGAGAAGTTAGAGACAAGAGGGAAGATACTAGGGTTCGTCGGTTGTTGTGCGCATGGAGAATTTTTTTTTTCTATACCTTCTTTTTCTTTGTCTCAGGGATTTGTGTGTAATTTGAATGGGAAGTGCCACACATACATATACTTTTCATTTTTGTCTGTATACGTTTTTCTACCCAGGAATGGTGTTTCTTTTTTCATCACAACTAAATCTGTTTAACTTGTTCTGACACTTTATTCATGTAGTGAACGACCTGTTTTCTCACTCTCTCTCTCTCTTTTTGGCGTTTGTTTGTTCTTTTTCTCGTTCCTTTTTCTTCTTCTCCTTTTTCCTCTCATTTGTTCAAACCAACCAACTACTTGTATTACTAACGAAAAATAAATAGACAGAAAAAAAAACACATTAGACGATACTTTTTACAATCTCTGTGAGAAAATAAATGGTAAATATACGTCACAGATACGTATAAAGATCAATATAGCTTTTAGAAGAAAAAGAAAAGAAAAGAAATCCAGTGTTGATTTAATAATTCTTATCTACACTAATATGAAGTGAGTGAGAAGCACTTTTTTCTCTCTGTCGCCAGTCATGATGATTCTTTTCCTATTCATTATAATGAATAATGATTAAGAGAAGAAAAACTGACAGTTGACTAGATCGAGTGACAATTAGATTTTACATTAAAACGAATGTGCCACCATTTCTACACGCCATTCTTCTTCCGTTTCGATGCAAATCAACATCATCTCTATCTTTTTCTAATTTATTTCCGCGACTTAAGAGTTTTTTCCTTCAAACGCGAAATAATACTTCATGTCATTCTTTTATAGTATACATACGAATATTAACTAATCATGTATCCTCAGCAATACCCGGCGGTCGCTTCTGCCCCTCCGCCATACACTTCTGGTATGCAATCGGATAACCAACAATATCGAGAATCCACGACAAGTTATCACACATCAAATGAAGAACGCATGGTAGGTTTTCAGCAACTTGTCGACCGTTATGAGAGTAAGCATTTCACACACATTAGACTACATATTATATATTGAAATTCTTTTATTTAGTTAATCATACATTTGCCACAAAATTGCGCGCATTAGAAGGCTATGAAATAGTATTTATTTGCGATGATTCAGGTTCAATGAACACTCCGCTCGGTAATCTCTTCTTTAATTTAGTATAATTTGAAAACAGTTATGTCTTATTCATAGGTGATTTGTCGGGTCCTTTTGATAAAATGCCATCTCGATGTATGAAATTATTATTAAACTTGTGCCTAATTCACTTCTTTTCACTGATATTCTTTTTAGGGGATGAACTAAAACAAACTGTCTCGATCGTTGTTGATATTGCTAGTGTCCTTGATCCCGATGGTGTCGATATCTATTTTCTTAATCGTGAACCTATTTTTCATGTGCGTAATTCGTCAGAAGTAGCGCCGATCTTTGCGATGCCACCAGCGGGTACGTCGAACAATTGAACTTAGCTGTTGTTCACATGAGTTTTGATTTTCACAGGCCCAACTCCAATCGTCCCTGTGCTGCGACGTGTACTGCATGATAAACAGCATGAAATCGAAGAACGAAAACTGTTGATACTTCTAGCAACTGATGGTGTGCCAACTGATAACCAAGGTCATCGAGATATTCGTTCGTTTGAATATGTACTTAAACATGAACGTCGACCTGCTAATCGTATACCTGTGACCATTATTGCTTGCACTGGTAAGTTATCCTAGAATTAGTTTGTGTCAATGACAGTGTTTAACTTTCGTGTCGTAGATGATGATGATTGTATCGGATATTTAAATGACTGGGATAAAAAACTTCCATATCTTGATGTTGTCGATGATTATCGAAATGAGAAACGAGAGATTCAAAATCGACAAGGAAAACAATTTCCATTTAGTTTCGGTGATGTAAGTAAAACTTATCTCGTATCTATTATTCTCTCTATTGTTTACTTTGTTTTCCTAAAGTATGTCGTTAAAATACTAATGGGTGGTGTAGACAGTTGGTTCGATGATTTAGACGAGAAAAAAGTCTCGACTGATGGCTACGGGCGTATACGGCAAGGTAGTGGGCAAAAGCGAAAGAAACCAAGCTGCATCATTCTATAACAAAGCGTATAATATGTTCAGATAACTGTCAGGAAGCCTTCGACATTCAGTGCAATAGAACAGCAGTCGCTATCTGATATATCTGAATGTAATGCAATATTAATCGTTTGCTGCTAACTGCTTTGTGTCATATTATTTATTATATAATAAATCTTCGTTCGATTTTCCATTAACACGATAGGCATCGACGAAGCGTCATCGTCATGGTGGTCGTGGCCATTATCTTGGTTGTCAAACCTCCGTTGGCCAACAAATGAAAATTTATAATCACTATTATGTATATTCTCGTGAATTATGTGCATAATTTACTTCAACAAGTTTTATTAATAGTGATATATCACTCATGGCTATTGCTTTACATGTTTTTCTTCTTCTTCTTCTTCTTTTCTTACTGCGAAATTTTTTTTTCTGATAAGCAATCAGCCAACTGATGTGAGATTATCTACGCGTGTGTGTATGTGTGCGCTTGCTGGAATGTTTTCCATTCTTTTCTTTTCTTATTTTGTTGCATGCCTGGTGGAAAAAGAAAAAAAAAGAGGAAAAAGAAGTTTGTTAGTCACATTCCAGAATTTGTTTTTCTCCTCCTATTGTCAACGCTATTCGTATTGTCAACAAGTTGACGTCAAAACAGATGAAATACATCCAAATCTTGACGTCATATATTACTCATTGGATTGCACAACAATTTTCGATTGATAATTATATCCGTATACAAGAAGTCTGATGAAATCGAGTTATTTTTAGATTAATTTTGTTTATCTTTCTCGTCCATTGTAAAAAAGAAAGAATTTCTTGTTGACGTCAGATAGAAGGAAAAGAACAGTAAGTAAAAGCGTATAAATCAAATAAGAAAAATGTCTTATGTAATCGAAAATCATTAGAAAAAAATTATTGCCTATGTATTCTCAAGCATATCCAACCACACCACCTCCACCTCCCTATTCAGATCCAATTGGTTCAAATTCGTTACCTCAGACCAATGATGAACGCATGTCAAAATTTCAACATCTAGTAAATCGATATGAAATTAATCGAGACTTTGCTACAAGATTAAGAGGATTGGAAGGATATGAAATTGTATTTATTGTTGACGGTAAGATCGGAAAATGTTTCAACTAAATGTCAAAGAAATGACTTGTTGCTCAACAATTACCTTGTTGAATAATTGATGAGTATTTCTATTTAGATTCAGGATCCATGAACACACCGCTCGGTAAAATGTTCCCAAGATGACTTTCATTCATGTAGGAAAGTGTTTTTTTTGCATATTTTAGGTGATATATCGGGTCCGTTCGATCACAATCCAACACGATGGGATGAACTTCGACAAACAGTTTCTATTGTTGTTGACATTGCTTCAGTGTATGTTATTTTTCAATCGTCTTTCTCTATAGCTTTGTGCTTCCTTTTTGTTTTAAATCAGTTTCGATCCCGATGGTGTTGGTAAGTATAGAAAATCCTATGAACAACACCGATGATGATCTATCTTTGTTTGCAAGATGTTTTCTTTCTCAATCGTGAACCGAAAAGAAGTGTTAAAAGTTCCGACGAACTCATTCCTATTTTCGCTGTGCCGCCATCGGGTAAATGAAAAAAAAAAACAATTAATCAACTTAGAATATTTAATATTGTTATTCTAGGACCTACACCGATTGCGCGTGTTCTTCAACATGTTTTACAAGAAAAACAACTTGAAGTTCAAGAACGCAAATTATTAATTCTTATTGCTACAGATGGAATTCCAACTAATGAGAATGGGCAACACGATGTGAAAACATTAGAGCATGTTCTTCGACATCAACGCACACCCATCAATCGCATTCCAGTGACGATCATCGCTTGTACAGATGATGATGAATGTATAGGGTGAGTATACGATGTCTTTTTCTGTTATTATTTGTGAAAATTCTGTTCTATGTGTAGTTATTTGAATAATTGGGATAAGAAGATTCCAAATCTCGATGTTGCTGATGATTATCGATCGGAACGAAGTGAAATCCACAAAGCACAAGGAAAAGATTTTCCGTTTAGTTTTGGTGACGTAAGTTCAGCGATTGCAGTACTCTCGACTTGATTAAAATATCTTGTTTCCTTTTCAAGTACGTTGTTAAAGTATTGATGGGTGCTGTCGATGATTGGTTCGATACCCTCGATGAACGGAGGGTGACTGGTAGTGGACCACCAAAACGACGGGGACATAAAAATAGAAAGAAAGGTTCATGTTCGATATCGTAAAAACCATTCTTAATCTTCTGTGCGAAGATTATACATAATTCATGCTCATATTTTCTTTTTCATGTATATGTAAATTTATTTGTCAAGATAGAATTTCTTGAGGAATACTAACAATCATCATAAATGAATATTTCAGTTTCTTATTGTTACGTCGCAGGATTTTGTCAGTGAAGAGAATTATCTAGCTTTGCCATTAAGTAATTGATCAGTTCAATTTAGCAACAGGAGCAATTCGATGTCTCTATTGACATCACAGTTAATAGAATTGTCTCGAGTCTTGGCTTCGAGAAATGAAACGTTAATCTATTTATTTTGTTTATTTCATTATTCATCATGAAACGGAAGAGAATAGAAATAACTATTGAATGACTAAATATGACAAAAGCAAAAATGCTTTTTGACTTAGATTGAGAGTGTAGTAATGATGAAATGAGCAAATATTAGCTGTTGCTTAACGATGTTGATTGAGTATCACATGTGTCAAGAACATCCGAGGAGTGATGAATTGCACTTAGTGAATATTCGTTAGATTTGAAAATATCATGAACATTACTGGGCAGTTGCGGTAAATGTGATGGAATTTTCGTCATATATGGTGAAAATTTCACTTTCTGACTTCGCTTGATCTGTTGCTGTGGTCTAAGGGCGAAACAAATGATGATTAGGAGGATAATAGCTAAATATTTCACTTACATAGTCGATGTCACTGGTAATGTACCGATTGATGTTGAATGTGCATCATTTACAGCATTTTGAATATCTTGAGTGAGTCGGTCAAAGTTTGCATCCGATTTTTTACTCAGATTTCTCGTTGCACCTTTCTCTGTCAATCCTACTGGTAATGTTTGAATTTGACTAAGTTTTGTTCGATTTATCGTAATATCATCATCTTTAATTCCACTATTACTATTGCTATCATTGGAATAAGGTAATGAAATGTCATCTGGCCCAAGGCCGGAATTGTCATCCATGTGATCCGATGTAGCTGTTTCATTAGATAACTTCATATACAATGCTTTCAATCGACTACGTCGTCGTACATCATTCCAACGACGGACGATTTTCGACGTTTGTTTCGAATTGGTTACAACAGATTTCGTTTGACGAACACCATTATCACCATTGACATACACAAGGGGCGAGTCAAGCTTTTCGTTGAGATCAAATGAGGAATCACATACCTTGAAAGACAAACGATCAGATTTTTCTAAAACTTAATTACAAAACGAAAGGACTTACAGGTGTCGATAATGTTCGTAGTTGCGAATCGTTTTTCATTGCTGATCGATCACGTCGATGTAATAGTCGAGTAATTTTTTCTGGTAATTGTAAATTAATATCCGTCTTTTCCGTATCGTTATCAACATCATAATCGTCGTCGAACATTTTACTAATATCGAATCGCGTTCGTCGATATCGACCGCGCTGACTTATGCTGCTCTTTTCATCATCAAAATACGACGAAGATAGATTACTATTCTCATTTATTTGACTAGTTGATAACATTGAATCGTCATTGTTATCGGATTCAGATGCGGTTATGCTCTCATCACTGCTATAATCTTTCACTTTGATTTTTCGCTGGGAAGTTTTTCTCAACAAACGAATTCGTTGTTTGGTTTCGATCAAATTCAAATTGTTTATCAAGTCTTTCAGCTTTGCTATTAAACGATTTGCCAACTGTCTATGTTCACACAATGGGCAATACCAATCGCCATCAGGAACTGATACAAGTATTGGAGTGAGACAGTCCAAATGGTATGCATCATTACAACCATCGCAGAGTAATAAAATTTCCGGTCGATCGCTGTTTGAGCAGATGAAACAAGATGTAATTATTGTGGAATTTTGTGCAGTTTTAGCTGTGTGAAATTCTTTATCAGCGGTACTGTCGTTCTCTTCTTCAAGATCAAAAAAATGATCTTCAGCCTCAACTGGATAGACGTACTCATCTTCATCTTCAGATATATCATCTACATGCTCATCAGAGCTCGATGTCGATAAACATAGATAATCATCAGTATTTCGACGAGTAGCTCTTCTTTTAGGTCGGCGTTGGCGACGACGAACTGCTGATATTTTTGTTGTGCGACCAGGCATCTAAAATATGCTCTTCAGTTATTGATGAGAATTATACTTGCTTACCTGAGAAATAGGTTCGATTGTTGGCACTTTTCGTGTTCGTGTTCGTGATGATCGACGTACTGCAAGACTCATTTCATCGAGAGATGTTTCCTCATGTTGACTTTCATCGATAGTAGATCTAATTTTTTGCTCTTGACGAATCTGTGGTTCCTCTTGTTCGATTTCAACATCAGACTTCTCCTGCTCATCTGAGACTGCAACAGAAATCTTCTTCTTCTTTCGTGATTTGGTAAAGCATTTTGGTCGTCCTCGTTTTCGTTTCGGACACTTTACCACTTTCTTCTCTTCATCTCGGAGATTTGCTTGAATCGGTACATAGTACTGTTCAAATTCATTCGTTGGTGGAAGGGCAGTAAATACTTCATCATCGATCACCCAATCTTTCGATAGAAACAGAAAAATGAACAAAATATTGAATTTTTATCGACATCTTACCAGAAAATCTCTGACGAACGATTGAGTCAGTAACTAATAGCTGAACAAAATTTTCTAATTCGTTTCGATTTCTACAAAATAGTTTGTTGAATGTGACTTCTCGACACTTCGTTCCTACTTGGCAATGATAGTCCATGTGCGATCATCATTGATATCTTCCCGAAATAATCGTACGAAACCATCGTTATCCTACAACATTATTCAAGAATGCTTTGTCAGGATCATATGTTACGTAGATGATATACGAACCATGAAAAACCAATAGGCAGCACCAAATCGATCACGGCCAAGTGGCAATGATCGTAGTTCACACGCTGACTGTTCAATGAATGTCGCTTTGAAAGTTTGATTCGAATCGAATTGACTTTCCAGTAGATTCTAGCGAGACATTTCAATACTCAAATCAAGCTACATTGTGTTATGGTTCGAGCTTACTTTTATAATTCGGATTTTCAGATTGACATCTGCTTGTGAGTAACCGGTTGCTGTCAATTGCTCGCTATCCAATGGATCAGATCGAGACATAAACTAGTGAGAACAAATAAAATAAGTGATAAAACATTCCGATAGTTAGATATACTTTAGTAATGATCGAGTCGAATTTCTCTCGTTGAACTTTTTTCGCTAAAGATATTCGTTTGAGAAGAACAAAATGAAAATCAATTAGACGTGGTGGACCTGAATTAAAATAAGTTCATTATTCCATTTAAGAGCTTATTCACTGATGAAATTTACTTGATTCTTGATTATGTACCAAGTGATCTTCGAATAATTGGTAAGGATAATGAGGTAGATCAAGTACGGTTCGAAACTTATCCAAGAAACAAAGAACAAGTCCATAATTAGGATCGTTTAATAAATGTATTCGACGCTGTTCTTGTCCAATGTCATTTTTCTTCGACGACGAAGATTCCATAATCATTTTCTCTAGGAGTCAATCTCTGCTCATGTAATCATACAATTGTTTGATAGAAGACTTCTTTCTCTAACATCTAAAACATACGTCGATATTTATCGAAGGACAGAAGAAGAAATTTCTTCACATTTCCTCATCTATCAAATCATTTGCATTCGAACTGGATTCCGCATTTCATCATGTCAATCGAAAACGATTTACATTTGTGCGATAAATGACGATTGAAAACTTAAATACGGCAGATGGCGCTATGCCGCCGATGAATCGCGATTGTCAAGTTGAATAACAACTTAACAAATCGATGAAAAGTATTACAATCATCCAAAAGCAAGCACAAGCAGACACTCTATTATCTACTTAGTGGCAAACACTGAATTTGGTGAATGACTAGGCACTGCTCTGTTGTTTTCCAAAAAATGGTATGTAATGATGTAGCAGAGCAGTGGATGGAATGCTGCGAGAAGCATAAGTCTTATCTATCAGCACCGACGAATTTTGAAGTTGTATTCGTCCCGTCATAATCGATGATTCTATTTCAAGAAAATATTCACTATTTGTTTTTCTTTACTTAATCCACGGACGAAAAAGAACACATTTCAGGGAAGAGGTCAAACTTGGTGAACTACCGTTTTCGTCGTTTGTTTATTGGATTATTCGCTTTCGAGTAAGTTAGACAGCAAATTGAATAAATCGCAGAAGGTCCGCTAAAAGTAGATACTCCACTGCTTTGAACGATACATTTCGTGACTGTGAACTGTAGTTCAGATCTTGGTGTTATTATTTAAGGGATATGTGTTCATCAAATGAAAACTAGAATTATATCAAATTTATCGAGACGATGCTTCATGACGCTTTGTTCAGCATGATGAAAAAGCATTGGCTAGCATGGACTACTATTAAGTTTGCTAGGAGCTGAATGAATGTTGATATTTCAGAATCACAGGCGACTACAACACCGAATGAATCATCTCTTCTTTATGTATACATAACTCGAAACTTGAATTTGAATATTCGACAAGTGAGGGTGCTATAGTAGGCTCGACCAACAGGAATACTCGAATAATAGAACACTCGAACTGATAGTTTAATAGTTGGATTCAAGTTTCGAGTTTGACACGACTGTGATGTTCATGAAAAATATATCTCAATAGAAAGGACTGTAACCAATAAGTACACTCATATTCTATACTATACTGTTTATTAGGGTTCTTTTTCTTTCAAAAAGTTTCTACGTTTTGGAATCGATTACAGCTTTGAATATAGATGTATTTTTGATTAATAGGTGCACAAACAGATGAAATATATTACAAATACACAAAAGAAAATACAATCAAATTATTTGCCATTTTTTGGATTTAAATTGCCTTTGTCATCTCGCCATATGCCGTCTATATCGACTTGACCATATTTATGTGTCGATTGATTTTTATGCAGCGCATCCATCCATTCTTTGACTATCACCGGCGAATCAATCATTGCATTGATTTCCTAGAATTATTTCAGTTAAAACAAAAAAACTAATCATTTGTCAATGAAATTTTACTTGAGAATGAAACCAAGATTGAGTGTCCATATTTCCATTGCCCATAATAGCTACCTGATCGTCAATTGACATGAATTTAATGTGACAATTACGTTTCTTTTGAGAAAAATTCAAAGGACGAGTTTGATCTAAATAATTCAGATTGGAAAATGAATAACTTCTACGTAGATGTTTCTCACTCACCTTTCCCGGTGTACCAATAAACATGAAGATATTTATCAGCACCGTCATTGCTCTCTTGTAATTTTCGATAAATTTTTTTAATAACATGTTCATTTGTTCCTCCTTGGAATGTACCAAAACCTTCAGTTAAGTCATTAAAACCTAAATCGAGCCATAATGTAACAACAATACCACGTCGACAAGCATAGAGAATTCCATCAATAGCTGGTGATGCATTCAAAGTTGGCGATTGTATAAAAATCGATTTTTTCGCATAACGAAATGCGCCTATCCAGGCAGCATCCTGAGGATTTGCTGTATCGACATGACCCGGTGTACCATGTGGTGCACGATTGACCAAAGCGATAGGTATTGCTTTATGTTCTTGATGAAAAATGAACGGACTGAAATCAAATGTTAGACTATCCAATTCGTCATTCGATAAATTTTCATCGGATTTGGTTTCATGTGCTGATTTCGACGATTTATTCAAATGACGAGTTAATGGAGATTCGGAACGAGGATTTAAATCATAACCGACGACAGCACCAACGAGATCATTGGTTGCTTTAACTAGAACTCCAGGCGAATGTTCTTGCCGATGATTAACAAGTGCCTTGACCGCAACGTGAGAAAATCCAGCGCCACTTGGCTTTCTGTCAGGTGAACTTGAAACACTCTCATCGTCTTCACATGCCAAAGGCGCATGGAGATAAACATCCGATTCTTCACCTTTCAGATGAGATTGAAGTCTCAAACGCGCTCGAGCAACTGCTTGTCGTAATGGCTGTCTGACAGATAGAATTCTTACATTATTCATTCCAAATCGATATTGAATTTTAACACGTGCTGGATCATTTAAACAAACAATGTTTGGATCGAATGGTACCCACCATGATATCAAAAATGTATCATAAAATGAATTGACAACATCACCTTCAAAATGAGACATCATTTCAAGATTTGGTCGATCTTGGATATTATTACTATTCAGCAAAGCAATACGACGATCAACGATCATAAACTTAGCATGAAATGTACCCATCACAATTCGATGATAGTTATTGACTTGTAATGAAATATTGGGTATTTCTTCTGGAGATGGAATATCATAATGCGACCATTTATTCGGCGGAAGAATATGATGGGCGCTTGTGATGTTTTCCTTTGTTGGATGATCAATCATTAGTTTAACAATAACATATCGATTATCGTTTCCAGCGCGTTTACTCAATTCTCGTAAAGCTTTACCAATAACATTAACACTTGCACTCTTTTCCCAGAAATTTGTTGCCAGAAGAACTTCTTTCTGTGCATGAATTATACAATGGTAATAATGTTGCATAATATCAGGAATTGTTGAAATAATTGTTAAGGGTATCACACCAGACGTACCAGTTAAACTGGGAGACACACATCCGGCTAATGGGTTTCGTCGTAAAGTACATAGAACGTTGTGAAATAATTTAAGAAATAATTGACTTGGTCGATAGGGGAAACGACCATATTCAGCAGCTATGTTCAAATCGTCTTCGGTGACTTCGCGGTCAAGAATTTCGTATGAGACGCGCGATCGTAAATGATGTTTTGGTGGATTAAAAAGGATTTCGGCTGCATCTTGTGGACTTTTGACAAGCGGTGGTCCGTTTGATACTAGAGAGGTAACCGTTTCTTTTGATATTTGATCAAGTGATAATAAATCGTCGTTATCGTCAACTAGTTCGTTTGACATAGCATCAGATAAAAAAGGATAACTTATTATTCATACATTTTTTGACCCTTTATATATATTGCAGTGTGTGTTGTTTTTTGCCGATTCTTCAAGGACGTGACGAAGGAAATTATGTGTATTTAGAGCGAGGAAAGAAAAAAACGAGAGTATAGATTAGGGATTTCGTGTGATTATTTATTTACTACGAAGGAGAGCCCTATTAGTAATAGATCTAGAAATATGGTGCAAAAACAAGAAATTAGTGATTTGTAGCGTAAGAACCAAAGAGCAAAAGCCAGTTATCAAAGTGAATATGTTTCACATACAACAAAGAAAAAGCACGATTCAGAATTTGATTTTTATTGATCATAGACATAGTGCAAATATTTACTTAAGTGCAATTATTTTATAAAACCTTTCACCCATAATATGCACAAGATACAACGAAAGTCTAGTTCACTTCACATCACTTCGTCGTTCTCCATAATCTTCTTCGAACACCAACAGACTAGTTCATGTGGTAATACATCTGAAGTGAGAAAAAGAATGAAAATTGGCTTGCTATTTCTTCTCGAATACAAGAAAAGTAAATTTTCCTACGAAGGATTTTTTTAATCCAAAATACGTTTGTAAACGAATAATATCTCGGTTTTCTTGTATAAAAAATATCTATATTTATATACAAATGATTCATTTAATTGCTTTGATCTAATGTTACAGGTTGAATCTGTCGATTAAGAATAACATCAATCGGATTTCGTATGCCAAGCATAAGACATAATAACTCTGTTTGAGGATTGTTTTTTCGCAATTGTTCAACAAGATGCAGCCGAAATCCTTT